GAAGAATGGCTTGCGTAAACTCAGCCAAGATGTCGTCGACAGCCGCGAGGGTGGTGCACAGCAAGGGCACATCATGTAATGAACACTCGAGGCTCCAAATATGGACATACATATATGCATATATGTGAGTCATGGGACCGCGCTGTTGGCATACGATTGCGTATGCACGTCTTGGAGACTTCCAAATTGCCGGTATAATTGCAGGCAAATTGCTCTGCAGGAGGCATGGCTCCGAATATATATTCAGTTATATGCATTTCAAATGGAAGGTCACGTGAGGTAATATAACCTTTGTACCAGGATGCAGCTGCCCGCCTCAAGTACCTGGTGGATTGACTGATCGACGCCGCGACGAACATTGCCAACCACGGCCGGCTGCAACATCCAATATTTCAATTGATAAAAAATAGTCAGGTGTTAAGGGGATGTGGCAGAACACGACATTCTGCCGGTAAGCGCCATGTGAAGTTTAGGTTGAGCTTGGGCAAACTGTACAGGAATTAGACGGAACGCGAAATGATATGATCAATGATTGCTTTTTTCTCGTGAATTTGATGTGAACCGAGCTTGAGTCCAAGCACGCACAAACTTGTGTGTTTGTGTGGCTGGTGCAGTATTGTTCGTACCACTTGCGCATGCACCTGGCCAGCCAGCTCAATTCAAGTTATAACTTGGCACGAATCTCGTACGGGTGAATGGCAAGGATCGCTGACGCACTGAATGCTGCATGGTGACGATGGGTTCCCACAGCGATGGGCTCGGTATTTTCAAATCCATGCCTCGCACGGATTCGAAAAATTTTGGTGTGAGCAAGGAAATTCTCGGTACAAAAACTATCGTACCTGATAAAGGAACACCCCGCGTTTGGTGCATCAATCCCCGTGCCGGCTACCACTCGTCTTATGTTACGCCTCACCGTCGTAGCTGGTACACAATTTCCAAGTATTGTCGTATGCATGTATTTATCCGCAGCCGATACACAGCGGCTGTCTGCAATAGTTTTGTGGTCATCTGATATGTCTGCATTCGGTTCTTTGGCATGGATTTAAGCAGGCTTGGTCTTTACGGCATAAATACTGTTCTATTTACGATTATGTACATGGAATATGGTTTTTAGTTTTCACGCGTAAATAGGCGTGAAATGCATAAAATGGGCCCTGTGTACTTAAATACAGTACATGCCGACTTAGGGAGTCCGGGGAGTGGCAGCTAGATGCGCTGAAATGTGTGAAGACGATCTCTTGCTCAATGGCATCGTTGCTCTTGCCGAAAACGAGGTGGACGGTGTGTTGCCGATGCTCGAGGGGTTGGAGAACTCATCACCGTTTGGGACATCATCATGAAATCTGGGCGCGTCGACGAGCCGTAGCTTAAATATTGCCGTAAAATTGGCCATTTCTCTATTTACGCGTTTTAACGCATAAAAACATAAACGTAAGAATGGAGCCGTAACATAAAGGTCAAGCCTGGATTGAAGGCACCAATAGTAATTATCGTTACGCTGATGCGACCTCCCAAACACGCACTTTAAATTTAGACCGCAACTGGAGGGAGATTGGACAAAGTTGTGACTTGTGTGTAGTGCCACAAAGCATATCTTGTTGTGACTAACATAACACAGATGTAAGATATAAAGACAAAACAATGTGTCGAATGGGGCTTAGGTGCACCTGATATATTCAGTATTAAAGGACACAATGTTCATGTGACATAATGTTTATGTTTAGGTGATCTTAATGTTTATGTGAGCGTGGGTCTAAAGACGTGCACGTTCGCGAACACGTTTGCCAATTGTGTGACATGTCGAAGTTTTTTGACTGTGACAGGATGCATTCCTGAATTGTGGATCGCGTTCAATCATCAAATCGTTCTAGGGCGTGCGCCACATGTGCTTAGAATAAGCTGCAGGCGATTTAAATCGACTTTTGTTCAGTTGTTGTGAAATTGGTAGGTTGACGTCACCGTCTTTGGGCGAATTCGAGCTCGCAGAATTCTGTCCCAATTTTGTGGAATTTCTCTTATGCTGATGTTTTCGGAGAAAGGGACAGGCGAAGGGGACATTTTATAATGTTTGTATGAAAATTGTTCTGTGCCGTTGGAGCTACGGTATAGATGTATTTGAGTGGGTGATATAAGCTGCTGTGTGAGAAAGGTGAAGTGAGCACAAGGGTGCATTGCATCCAAGTCTAATTACTAATTAATTTTTCAACCGTGGCAAAGGCAACTGAAATAATAATTCGAAGGATAGTAGATGAGATTAAGGGCTCGGCTGTGTGAACGCAACGTCTCTTTTGGATGACAGCTGGTTGTTGTCAGGGAAAAGCATATTTCTGATCGGAGAGCACACTTGTGGATGGTCACGGTTTCCTTGTTCCAGGCCTTTGGATGCGGCAAAACATCATCACCCTCAGCATCGCTCTTTTCTGGTGGACCAAATGGCTGTGAGTGTCGATTGAGGCCAACGTGGACAAATAGACGAGACAGGAGGTGCATCCCCCCCCCCACCCCCCACCCCACCCACACACACGCACACAAAAAAAAAGCAACAGAAAAGCCGACATGGTGCCCTCTGGCACAGCACAGCATTCTCGCGTTTCTCACAACCTCGAGCCCTGCCCACAGCGCGGGTCACAGTCGCGCAGTGCACCAACAGGCTCCCGGCAGCCATGGGCTACATCGTTGGTTGCGTTGTCTTCGTCGCCCTGGAGGTCCTCGCCTTGATCCTGGTCACGATCTTCACCAGGGGCTCGGAGAAGAGGTGCGCTCTGGTCCCCCCCTGCCGGCGTTGGGCCGTGCCTCTGTCGGCTACCCCCTGACCACCCGCCCCGCTGCTCTTGCCTGATTTCGCTCTGTCCTTGATGGATTGGACATTTGCACGTTTTGAACGATTTGGAACAGAATCTGTTGGCATGCTTCCTCGAGGGCCCCTGTTGTGTGACAAAGTTGAAGTTCTTGTCGTCGTTTCTTCTGGGTGGGCGGTATTCAACGCTGACCTGTTCGCGGTGTCTGCGATGCAGGTTGATACAAACCCTCTGCCTGACCGCGGTGATCTGCCTCTGGCTACTGTGAGTCTGCCGCCCCTCCAGTTGCGATGGGCGGTGGCTCGTGAATCTCGCGGCAGCGCTGCCCTGGCCCGCTGAAATCCACACACCTCGCTTGGAAACCCCAGGTCACGCGGTGTCCAAAGGGCCGCTATCTCTTTGCCAGCCACCCTTGTGGTCGCCTTGTTTGGCCTCGTATGGCCGCCCCCCCCTCCCCCTTTCCTCCGCCCTGTTTTCTTGCCATCAAAGGGCAACAATACATTCAGGGTCGTGGACCCCAATGGAGTGCTTCAGCCCGCAGCGGCAGGGCAGCGCTACTGATGAACCGGTGGGGCGCCGATCCGGCCCCCCAGCACCGAATCTGCAACAATCTGGGCTGACGCTGGTGCCACTGTGCAGGTGGTCGGTGGCATACTTGGCGCAACGGTTCCCGATGATTGCTCCCATTATGGCCGATTGATCAGCCGCCCTTGCGCCATGCACCCTGTCGCTTTGGAGAGAGCGCTGCGCTCCTCGAAGCTGCTGGGCTGCCTCCCAGCCTCGAGTGCTTCGAGTGCATGGTCGCACACACCATGGCAGTGCCCTGGTTCTGGCGCAGGGCTGGTGGTCCGTGTCCCATCTGCTGGGAAGCGTGGTCAGGGCCAGGATCGAAGGGCTTGGCTTGGCTTTTGAATTCTTTCACTGGTGGGGATTGCTTCCATGAAAGCGATGGTGGGTGACGGGCACTGGGTGTGGTTGAGGTTGGTGTGGAAGAGAATTCCTTCTGGATAAGGTTGGACCGCCCAGGGCGGCAGTACCCCTGCACCTGGAAAGGTGGATTGAAGCTGCCGGGGGTGCAGTGCCTGAAAAGTGCCAGGTTGGTGACTTGTCATGCTTTGTTGTGGATGTGGACATCCTGGAGTGGTGTGGTGCAAATCGCTGGCAAGATTGGGTGCCAGATGGTGGCAGATGAAAGACCTTTGAATGTGTGAATGTTTCGTCCATAACAAAGCCGATGTTGTAGGCTGAGATAGCTAGATTTAGGTCTTCAATTTTATGGGCTGAGCACCAACTTTTTGAGTGCAGGTTCTGCAACTCTTACCACACTGCAGAAGATCTGTTGAAGTCGCTGCAGATGGCAAAGATGGCGCACAGCTGGTGTTGCCACAGGAACCAATTTGAACACAGCAGAATGGCCATTGTGGTTTAGTACCACTTGAAAACTTCACCACTACCAAGGCAAACAGGTTTACTACAATGTGAAAAGCAAGGAGAGGATAAGCCCTCAAACTATTTTTGGCTTGCATCCATGGCTACTGGCATTGCTGGCTGTAACATTGAATTGCAGGCAGCAGCGAGTTCTTGATGTGGACATTTGGATTGATTTGCCAGCACTGTGCACGTCTGTGCACGTCTTGTGCGCATCCTAGGGATCAGCATCTCACCATTACTATCCATGTTGAATGTTCCGACCAAACCCACATTGGTAAGACAATCAATCGGTGGATAATTCGTGGACAATCAAAATCTTCCAAAACCACACCTGCACACTGCATGTGCAGTTTTCCCATAACATTGTCGTGATGGGGTCCCAGCTAAGTACATACCCTGTTCTGTTCAATTTTGCAGCGGTGCCCTTGAACATACAATGGCCCCGTCAATAATTCAACTGCGCTATCCGCTGTTCATGGCACAAGTGACATGCGTTCGTCTCGTTGCGCACAGTCCTGAAACATGGGAACAAGTGCCCCGCATGGGTACAATGCACCAAGCCGCCAATGTACCAATCTGCGCATCTCAGTACATTAACCTCTAGGTCGCCTGCCCAGAAAACATTAACCTTCATGGGTTGTCCCATCCCCCCCAAAACGCGACCCTTTCCCGCCAGATTTCGCCGGTGCGTTGCTGGAACTGAACTCAGCGGCTTCGGCGGGGTGGACTCCGGCTCGACCACCGCCACCCAACCGGCCCCCACCAGCGATGGACGAGAGCATGGACGAGAACGGCGATCCCGGCCGGACCCGGAAGCGCCCCCGTCGCGAGTGAGCAGGCCCAGAATTGGCCGAAGGCAGCGCTCCCTCCTTTTCTGGATGCCGGGCGTCCTTTGCCCATTTTGTCTTTCCGCTGGCGGCTGATCTTGCGGCTGTGCTTCCGGCAGGGACGGGTTCCGAAAAGGCTCTCTGAAGCGGATCCGAGTTGGAAATTTTATGGTGGGACGCATTTCAGACTGTTGGAACAGCCTCAAGATAATTCATTCCAAGAGTGGCGTGCCTTTTGCGTTGCAAGTTGTCTTTCTGCTGAAAAGTCGGTGGACTCGTTGAGGGTGCCAGGGTCAGAACGGATGGCTGCTGCTTTTCTGTGGCGGGCCGGGGGGGTCCTGCTGCTACGAGTTTGTTGCACGCCAATCCTCCTTCTGACTGCTCTTCCCTGCCCATTGTGCTTCAGACTTATAAGAAAGTCGAGCTCGTCGCAAGGCCCCATCTCAACATCATTCTGGGCCCCAACGGTGAGCGACCGAGGCGGCATCGCCCCCTTTGACCACAAACTGCTGAAGCCAATGCCCCTGGTCCCAAGCTTTCCAAAACGCTCCAGCGCCGTTTCACAGACCTAACGGAGCCCTGTGGCCCCTTCACAGGCACTGGCAAGAGCTCCCTGGTGTGCGCCCTCTGCCTCGGGCTGGCGGGGAAGCCCAAGGTGAGCTGCGGACTCCAGTGGCCCTACTCTGCGTCTCATTGGGGCATTTCAGTAGCCAGTGCAACTACCAGCGCGCCTCGTTTCACGTCGCATTACAATGGCACATTATTCATCATCCAGTTGTGTACCCCTGATCGAAGATTGCGATTTTACAGAAGGGCGAAGGCGAGTAACAAATTGGGAGGCTCTCCTCCTGGATAAAGTGCAAACTTTCTTCCACAGAGTGATGGTGCAGAATGCTCCAAGCACAACAGGAACACAGCAACCATGGTCGACTTTCCAATGTGTATTTTGTTTCTGGCCATCACTCTGCTTGGCTTGGTTGTTAGATGGAATGCATGGAAACGTGACCGCTTTCGCGTCCTTGGTGGAATGGCAGTGTTGGCCATGTTTTAGCAATTTTTGTGAACGGGGTCGCACTGTGGGCGTGTGTAGCTGCTGGGCAGAGCAGACAACGTGAAGGACTTTGTGCTGAGGGGAGAACAGGAGGGATACACAGAGGTCACGATAAGTGGTGGTGGTGAGGAGCGTGACAGGGTCGTCAGAAGGGACCTGCACTCCAAGGACAACACGTCGACGTGGAAAATCGATGGTGGGGGGCCCCTCCTTGGCATGCATGGACTAACAAGGGTGCAAAGACACTTGGCTTTTGCTTTGTCATGTGTGGCAAGACCAGCACCAAAGGGTGTTGACTAACTCCAGGCAACGAAATGCTGACATGTGTGCTGAACCTACTGTTGTCAATCATGTCAGTGTGCTTGCCTGAGGATGGCAAAGGTGTGCAGAGTTTTGTGAAATCGGGGGAACATGCTCCACTATTTGTGTTTCCTTCTGCCAATTGTTGCCATGTTGGAGGAACACAACACCCACAGCAACCCAAGCTGGAATTGAAAGTGCTGGATTCAAGCAAATAACACTATGCAAATGCTATGGGAAGTATTATGGAATGCTATGGAAAGTATTATGTTCAGAAAACTGTTTCTTGAGCAAGCCTTGTGCCCAATGACGATGTTAATAGGGAATCAGAGGAACTGTTGGTGGACAGGAATGGACTAAAGCAATGCAATACCTGGCCTGCAACTGCCGTGAATCGCAGTGCAGTTCAATTGGCAGTGGGCTGTCTCTAGCAGACAATGTAGTCCAAAACACATTTGCCATGCACTGATTGAAGAAGGATTTTGACAATGCTACCCATATGCTGAAGTGTTGCTTTCAGTTCCCATCCAATACATTTTGCTATTGTTTGGTGATTGTGCCTGCTGTGGTGCCTCACAGGCAGGCCATCGACGATGCAAGAAGTTGAGAAGCTGAAGGATAAGATGAACATCCAACTAGACAACCTCTGCCAGGTGAGGCAGAGTCTGGGATGCTTCAATTGAAGAAGTTAGTGACTGTTGTTGACTGCGATCCAATAGATTCACATCATCACGTCATGGCGATCATCGATCATGGTGATCATCGATGGTGATGGGCTGCAATACTGGTGTATTTTCTTGTGACATGGAAAGCTGCTACAATCGATGGTGGGCTTCCTTGGACATCCTGTGTTTGATTTTGCTTGTTGTGCTCTGGCCTTGTTCATATCCTGCCAATGCTGCATGCCAAGGAAGAAGGACATCATGCCTTCCTGAGCAATGCTTTAGGTGTCTGCTCTTTATTATGAGACCAGTGGAAGTTTCAAAGACCATATTGCCTTTACTGCCGCACAGATGTCTGAATCTTGTTTCTCTGCGCTAGCATTCTAGTCAGAGAGTCACATATTCAAGAATTCTATGGTGTGGCGCCAGTTCCTGCCCCAAGACCGAGTGGTGGAGTTTGCACGTCTGACCCCAACAGAACTCCTATTCGAGACTGAAAAGGCCATAGGTAACTCCAAGCTCTGTGACCTGCACCGACAGCTGATTGAAAAGGGCTCGACTTGTTCGCAGCAAAGACAGGTGAGAGCTTTGGACCGTGGGCAAGCGTGGGGTGGGGTGGGGTGGGGACCCTTTTTGGATATTGTCTGCTTGTGGTGCATGGCTTTTTTCAAAGTCATGCTGTGCATTCCTTGTGCTGGGGACACAACGTGCATCGCAACAGCTCGTTGATGCCTTAGTTTTGGAAATGGACACCATTTGCCTGGAACATCGTGATGTGCCAACGACACATGTGGCTGCCTTGGCACCTTCAGTGTGTGGCGACGATTGAGAAAGAGCTGGCCAAGGCAAACCAGGCACAAGAGCAGACTGAGAGGGAGGTCAAAAGATTTGAGCACCGTGAGAGTCTGCTGAAGACGGTGAGGACGTGGAGCACCCCTGGCTGGTTTCTGCTGATTGCAACCCTCTAAGGCACAGAACAAGATTGTGGCACCTTGAAGGCAATAATAGCAACAGCAAAATACAGCATATGTTTGTTTGTTTCTGTTTGTTTCCTGTACAGTCACATATCAACTCGCCTGTTTGTCGATGCACATGTCCTGACCAAAGAGATCTCTCAGGCAATTCTGCAAAACTTGGTTGTCTGAAGCCCAAAAGTTAGTGACGCGTTGGATTGATTGTTGTTTGGTTGACTGGCTTGAGGAAGGTAGAAGAATGTGCATACACATGGGCTCATTTGAAAGACCTTGTCAGATTGTTGGCATCAATCAATTTCACCCCTTGGGTGTCAGAAATTTTTGGAAGGGGTTGACCTGCCGTAATTGAGATGAGATTCTTCTGTTCTCCATCTGATGTGCCCGACCATGTGAAGTATGTGCATGTTGGCACTCACAGGTGCATTCAGCAAGTACAACTGGTCATCGCCTTGATGTTGCAAGGGCACTTCTTCAGGTGTTTTGGACAAATGTGATAAAAAGGGTCAACAGCTTGAGCTTGGTTGGGTCGGTGCGCTGAGCAGGTGGAAGTTGCAAAGGCCAAGCTGCAGTGGGCAGAGGTGCGTGTTGTGGAGGAAAGACTCAAGACAAGCAAGCAGAAGCTGAAGGCAGCAAAGCAGGCTGTGAAGACTGCGCTGGACCAAGAAAAAAAAGCGAAGATGTGCATTGCGTAAGAACTTTACCTGTGCAGTTGATCTGTTTGCTGGGACATTGTATACCAAGACTCGCATATAGCAGTGACATCTGCTGCTTTGAATGGCCTGGTGCAGGTCTGCTTGAGTGCATGCACATAATGTTGTACCCGACAATGACTAGACACCTTGCAGGCTCCAAGAGAGAGCAGAATCCGCACTGCGTTGGAACTTTGAGTGGCAATGGTTGCCACTGGCTTGCATGCGATGCAAGGGTGAAAGTTCCACGGCCTACATCTTGGCTCCCATTGCAAAGCTAGTACGCTACCCCCCTCTTCACCCCTGAAAAAATTTGCTTTCCAGGTTGTTGCCATCACCAGTGTTCTGGCAGATGTTGACTAAGTTTCCAAATGCAATCTTATAATGTGGCCATGCATACAGTAATATTATGTTGTACATACATCCAGAAGCAGAGCGATGAGTTGGCAGCCTATCACAGGCATTGCGCACAGTGCCCAACATCGTTTGGACAGGATATGGCACTGAAATTTTGATTGTGTGCCAGGCCATTGACCAAGGAGAGAGAAAAATGCAAGAGGGAGACTACTATCGTTAAACAGAACTGCTGTCGGCTGACATCAGCTATTGAAAGACAGGCTCAACAGGCCTCCAACCAGGTGATACATGCAGTGATTGTGTGGCAAAATAGTCATCAGATTGTAGCTATCTGGGGTGTGCCGAAATATCATGAGAAGTATGCATTCAACCTGTCGTTGAAATTGGTGTACAGACAGTTTGATTGACTTGACTGCCCATGGTTAGTCAAATCATTTGTCCAAACATTGGTGTGTGCAACTGGACTTGGAGATTTACGATAGCCAGGAGAAAGCTGGCACTGCAGATGCCCTGTGGAATGGTAATTTTTTCTTGTTGGAGAAACTGTTGTGGTGACAATTATGTGGCACATTTCGTTTTCGATTTATTGGGATTGCTTCAGTCATCTATGGAAATGTAAGAGCTAGTTGGCAAGCTGGCAAATAGTGAACTCGATGGCTGCAGGTGTGGGCAAATGTAAGCAAGGATGACACTAACAGCCCATGTACCCCCCTGCTTGTTGCTCCTCTTATGCATGTGTAGTCATTACTGTGGCTAATGTTTCCGGAGGATGATGGGTCATAATAATGATAGCGATCATGCCGTTCTTGATCATAGGTTTTTCAACGTCAACCGCAATCAAGAGCAATAATCATGATCAAATCATTGCCTTGATCACCAGCAACATTGAGATTGATGATTGTTGTGGTCATGGTCACAAGCAGCAATAAGCCACTCGTTCCATTGTGTTGTTGCAGGTGGAAAACTTGAAATCTCAGGCTGCAGACTTGAAGAACATCGAGTTGGAGTCAAGGGAGTACCACAAAAAGATAAAAGCGACCGAGGAGTCACTGCGCAAGGCACAGGCATCGCTCGACAGCCTGGGACAGGCTCCCCCTGAGCACCACAAGAAGATGCAGGACCTTAGGATGTTCATCAACGACTGCAATACAGAAGTGCGTTCCACACTTTCGGGGACCAGGATAATGCCAACTTAAAAAGCCAGCTCATGGAGATTACCATTCTGATGCAATGGAGACAGGCGTAGGATGGCCACCGCCACACTCACAAGCAGGTTTTAAGATTGAAGGGCTGCAACAAATCTAGGAAGTTGGTAAACGACACATTGGTCAGGACATGTGTCTCTGCCGAGTTCAGATCATCAGATTTCATCAGCGTTCATAGTTGGCTGCGGCGACCTTGCGACATTGGCAAAGATCAGGACTTGTGAGGTGGCTGTGTCAGGGCTGGAGTGCTGACCTGTGTGGTGATGGTTCAAGGTTTGACATTGGAACACAGTCCTGGACTGAGCTACCTTCAGTACAGCAACAAACAGATGGAATGGGTGCCTGCTCCAACGACTGCGTATTGTGCAGGCACTTGAAGGAGTGGATCCCTGGAGGCAGTGTGAAACAATGCACTAGGCACTGGCACGTGTTTCCAAGGTGTCAGATTATCATATAGCTCCGCAGTTCTATGAGGATGCAAGGACCTCACAAATGAGTATTGCAATTAATGTATTTTGGGCTGATATCACTGACTTTACCTGAATGTCATGCGTTCATTGGGTAGGTAGGTAGATAGGTACATAGGTAGTGTATCCTGAACCCGAAAACACTACTTCAAAGAGTTTGAAGGATTAGCAGAAAGTCATTAGGAAACCCCTAAACACCATGTCAGCAGAGCTGTTGGACTGAAAGGTACCATGTTGGCATTCTATTTTTTTCTTGGGAAAAGAATAAGTGAGCTGTGCCTTCTTGTTCAAACGACATGCATTGAGGCAGTCATATGTCTCATGGCTTGTCTGGCTCTTCTGCTGCCTGAAGTACACTGGTGATGGGTTGAAAAACACTTGGCAGCGATTGCTTGTGACTCCTGTCCGTACTCTGTTGCAGGCCAGGGGCTACAGGCGAGACATGGACAACATCGAAACTGAAAGGTCACAGGCTCGACGGGCTCTTAATGCCATCCAAGGTATGTAGATGAATTTCTGGTTATTCCCAACCAACACAACCCAATTAACCAGTTGATTGATTTTGCCCACTTTCTCTGGACCACAATGTCTCGATATTCAGGGACGGAGTCCATCTTGACGGTTCCAGAAATTTTCGTTCCATGATGCTGTCCACCACCTCTCTGAAAGCCAAGCTGTGTGCAGACAAGTTGAAACGTCTGAAGGACGTGAAGTTGCAACGCATAAGAAATCTGGAGGGTCGACGCCATGGTTTCCGTGGGCTGTTGCAAGCCTACGAGTGGCTGCAACAGAATCAAAACAAGTTCCGTTCTCGCGTGTATGGTCCCATATGTGCAGAAGTCGCAGTTGCAGACAAGCAAAATGCTGCTTACCTGGAGGGGAATGTCGCTCTTCAAATATGGACTTGTTTCGTCACAACTAACAGGTAGGTGCACAGTGCACGGGTTTCACATGCAGTCTTTTGCAGCTGCTGCTGATCATGAGGAGCGTGGATTCTTGCTGCTTCCTATTTGTTTTCATTGCCAGTGCCAGTACATGGCTCGCAATTCTGTGGCCACTCTGATATGGCAGTGCTGTGAGATGTATGACACGTGTATGTGATGCTGCAGCTGTTTTAGCCATATACATTGTTAAGAGTCTCCCTTTCAGGCGATTCAAGCATTTTGGTGCCATTTTTTGTTTCAAGTTTAACCAGTGTAGATAAGTTTATTATTGCCGTGACTATCTATGACCAATGGAAGAGGTTATAGTTTCAATTGATGTTTTGGTGAAACTGCATGGAATCAGTTTGGTGCTATAGCAACCAACATAGTGGAGATATTTATGGCACTGTTTGCTGAATTCCCTCAGCTGCCCACCAAGTGCAATGGCAGTATTTCATGTTTGGTGTGCAGCATAATTCGTCCACAGTGCTTGGCAGCTGCACTTGCATTCTGTTCAATGTGAACGTTTGTCAAGTGAGCAAATGTTGCTGCCAATATATGGCAACATTTTTCATCCACATTTAATGGCCTGGTTTTGTTGCTTCCAGGGATGACAGCCACATGCTGCGCAGCATGCTTACACAGGAGGGCATTATGCGAGGAGCAAATGTACTGTGTTATGAGGGCGACCCTGGTGCCCCTTTGCGGAACTCCAGCCACACGACTGCAATTCCACAGTATGTGCTGTGGGTGTGCGATCTTTTTGTTTTTTTATGGTAGACTTATCCCACTGTGGTTGTGTGTCAGTTGTTTATTAGTTTGATTGTAGTTGTTGATGTTCACTGGTCATGGCCAGCCATGCATCAGGCATTGTGTGTGTGGTCTTGTGGTCGCATTGGCATCCTTGGGGCTTCAGGCCTTGACTCGAATTCTTCCACAATTGCTGCCAGCTCAGTCTGGTGAGCTCAGAAAGGGAATTTTGATTGCCAAAGAAAGTCCTGTGTCTGGGTGGGAACTCTGGAGAACGTTAGTGTCTGTTGGTTGGGTGTGTGTTGACTGCACTGTCTGCATGATGCCAAACACGAGCACATGCAGGTCAGGCGATGCATGTGTGACCACTGGTCTGTTGCCATCAGGTTTGGCATCACCCACACACTGGATGAAGGGTTTGAGGCACCGAATGTTGTGAAGCAGGCTCTCAACATCGAGTCGGGCATAAGCAATGTACTCATTGGCACAAGGTCAGCACTGATCATCTGAACTCACTGGTGAATTTGCCATAGTTTGGCATTGTACTCATGCTCCTGTATTCTGGGAATGTATAGCCAATAGTATTGGCGGCAACCTATATATGATATCAACCCATTGCCATATATCTTATGCATTTTGGCATTGCAATGGATCCTTGCAGGGGCCCATGCCTGCTAGGACCAGTGCCATTTTGCTCGAAGTGGTGCGCTCCAGCTGGAACACCATCCAAGCAACCGTTGCCAGCATCGCGTCCAGCTGACCGAGGCGCGTCCCCTTGGCATTGCAATGTCCTGTGGCACTCTCCAGGCCCAGTCTGAAATTTTGTATTTGTATTTTGATGTTTGGGGCCTTGCTAAGGGTATTAAACTTGGAAATAGTGCAGGAGACCTGCTGACAATTTGGAACAAGATCTGCTTCTCTTGGTACCCCAAACGGTGAACTCGGGGCAGAATCGCATTAAATTCACAGTGAACTTCTGCCAAGGCACCCATCACCTCCCACTCTGTGACCGTCAGCATCTCAAACCGCTGTTCCATGGTGTGTGCTTCGATTCATCGCTAGTCTTGTTGATTGGTCCAGTCTCGTCAGTGCAGGAAAACTGAAGGCTGCATGGAAGAGCTGTTGAAACAGCATCGTAATGTCACTCGCGTTTGCACTCCGGGGGAGATCGTGTCGGTTAAATTCTCCAAGTATGGGGGAGGCGTCCGGTCGACAGCCAGCAGGGCAACGCCTGAGCCATCGTTTCTGGGCTCATCGTCCAGTGGAGGAGATGAACAGGAGAGTCTTTTGCGGAGCCTACGCACAGCAGAGCAGGCAAGTCGACAGGACTATTCACGGGGTCTCTTTCTGTGGATTGGATTGTGAGAATTTGTTTCTGGATCGGGATTGGGGCAATGCATTGGTGTCTGGGGAAACGATGCAGGATGGAGCCAACAGCACATGAAGCGTTTGAGATGTTCGGTAGTGACACATGACAGCCAAAACTTGCTAAGACATTAGTTGCAGATACATTAGTTCTTGGTCCATTTATTCTCTTGATGTCAGATTCATTTGTCCACATTTGTGCTGCGCCTTCAAGCGGTTGTGTCTGACAAGGTCTTTAGCAAGAATTTGCATTATGTCACGAGTGGCGTGGCATGACTGAATGCGCGTTTAGCCGAAAGATCCAACCTTGGATGGTATTCCTTCTTCTGTGTTGTCACAGCTGGGTAAAGTCCCTCATCACATAATATTCGAGTCAACATGCACAGGACAAATCACATTGTACACAAAACACAATGTCTTTTTGCATGCAGTGCGACATCTGATGAGAACCATTCCCAAGGCCATATTCAGCAAAATTCACAATGATGGTAAAATATTCATGTCTTTCATTGCGTTTGTCCCTTGGTCCAAGCAGGGCCCCTGCACCTACAAAGCAATAATGTGTGTGATGTCCTGGATTCATGCAGACCATTGCGCGCTTGGATGGGCAGCATGCTGAGCATGAGAGGCACTACAGAGAAGCCCAGCAGAAGTTGAACGAAGCCACAAAAGAGAGAGAGGTGCTGTCGAAACAGGAACACGGCAGGAATGCAAAGTAAGCCTGCAGGACATTTTCTTATGTTTTTGGATGCTTTCTCTCTGATTGATAAGTTTAGAAGGAATTTCCAGTTGTCAGAATTTTGCCAAAAGCTTCAGCGAGTTAATTGGGCTGATGTAACTCACTTAGTTCTCACAGGACGAACCACTGCTGTTTTTTTCTTGAATGTACGACAGCATTCTTGAATAGCATTTTCCCTGGACATTCAAAACTTGTTGGCTCAGATGCCAGTCCCTTTTGACAGCCCAGTGAAAGGGAGAAGAATGCTGCCTTTGCACCCATTGGCACATTAAGCAATCTGGACAAGCTGGGCTCTTCAACGACATGCAACACGTGGCAACCATGCATGAAAGAACAAGCTATGCAGGCTCGCATGGATTTCTCCTTTTTCTCCCCTTCAAGGTGTCCCTGCGGCCGTTATGTGGCCTGCCTCAGCTGGTCCAGTGCCTGTAAACTGCTAGCCCTGGCGTTTGCTTCTGGGATGGGTGCCTCACCCATGGCTGTGCTTGCAGGCGCAAGAAGCTTCAGGAGAAAGTGAAGATGCAGGAGAGGTCGCTGAAGAAGCTGTGTGAGAAGCCTGACCCCAAGGAGGAGGAACCTGAACGGCAGCAGGCCCTGAAGGATTGCATGGAAAGGTTCCTGAGGGAGGTACGGACTCCTGCATCCTCCCTGTTGGTGAATAGAAGTTGTGCTGTTTGCAACTGGAGGTGCTGGACTCTGTACAGTAAATTATTTGTGGGCGAATCTGAATTTCAGCTGTCATTAGTTGCTCAGCAGTGCAGTTGAATTTTCAATGCGATGCCAAGTGTAGCTCAATTCCTTGGTTTCAGTTCTCTTTTGAAAGAAAAGGAGACTGTGCACCTTGCAGGTGATGACGGACACTTGTGCTTATGCTTGTGCTTGTGCTTGTGCTGCAGACGAGGAAAGGCATGGGCAAACTAATGGATTGGAGACCAGAGTACGAAAAGCTGACATCTGTGTCCCTGCATTCCACAGAGTGCAGTGCACAGGTGAGCTCACGTCCCACGATTGGGAATGCAGCAACCTACTCCCATTTTTGGGTGATGCTGAACAATCAACTTCTTTGTAGCTCTGTTTCCTTAATACTCAATTCTTGAAAAATTCAACATGCAACACTTGAAGTGCTTTGAAGTAGAATGCTGTCACACCTGTGCCAGCTGCGTCCGCTAGGTCAAGACAATCCATTGGTCCAGGCAATGCTTCACGTCCATGACATTCTGCAGCTGGCTATGCAGAAAATGCCGAAGTGGTCAGCAAATGGGATTTCTCGCCACAGTGATCACATGTCTGTGGAGCTTGCATTTTCGTTAAGCTTACCGCTAACACTGCAGCTTGCACGTTGTTCTGTTTTGCTCCTTTCATTGTTCAAGTGAAACATGAGTAAACAATACATCGTGGACACGCGCTATGTCAGTGATGTGAATTCCTGGATAGATGGAATCCCTAGATGCATTTCCATGGCACCCACCAAGGAATTGAGGGCTGTTTTGGGACCCCGCAGATTTTGCCTCAGCTGGTCGTGCAAAACAAACCCCGAGAATCCGGAACCCAGAAGAAGAGAAAGTAACACCTGTTGCCGCTACCTGACTGTACTATGTGTAGCTGCTGCTATATTATATTGATTGTGTGATTGTGAGTTGCAGCTGGCAAAGAAGATGGATTCATTCAAGGACTTCGAACTGGAGGTGCAGAAACACCAGCGGATTCACGATCAGATTGTGCACATTGTCCACAGTGATGAGCGTGAGTTAAGGTGAGCTCACAAGTAGTGCTTGCTGTCAAAGCAAAACCAATGGCACAGAGTGCACTTTGTGAGTTTGTGGGAGTTGAGCTGCAAAATCGAATTCAATCCCAGGCCAGGACCGCTGCACAACAAGTGTAGATGCACAAAGATGCAAAACCGAACTGAATGGCAGCAGCCAATTTTTTTCTCCTCCAAAAGAGCAGGACAAGAAGTAGACACAGATGTGTGCCATTTCTTTTGCCTTGCATGACTTGCTCGCACTGGTCCATAGTGCAAAGAAGGGTTGTTGTCCCCTTTGCTCAGAAGGGCTCAGTGTATGACATGCTTGATGAGTTCTTCAGACCATGCTTGCGTTTGGGAAGCTTAGGACTGGCTCTGCTGCTGCATGTCCCTCAAGATTGCATCGTTGTATCACTGGGTGTTTAACGTAGAGACCTGCCTTTGCAGTTGATCCTCATACTGTTATGTTCTGAGATACGAAGTGCATATTCAGATGAATTCACCTGGTGTATCTGCGAATATGAATCAGATATCTCTTGGTCCTGTCCTTGATGGCCAGACCACCTTTGTCTTCTTTCCCCTGCACCCACCCTGGGGTGGCAAAAGACCTGCACATCCCCATTGAGTTTGGATATAGCTCATGCACTCCTTAAATAGAAATGGATTGGTAACCTGGTAAGAAAGTAGAAAGTTCATCAACACTATGCCGTTGAGAACTACACACACCAATATCTCTCAATGTTGTTCCAGCTTGGACTCAAACCGAGACACACATTTGAGACTCTTCCAAACGAAAGTAAGGCTCTTGCAATAAACTTAACTTTTGTTCAAGATAGGGATCTTGTTGAAGTTGGAATTGGAACTTGAAGTTGTTCTTGCCAAAACGACACCAGACGCTGGGGCTGAAGTGGGTACTTGCCATTGTGCTGACTGTCAGGAAAGCCAAGGAGGAAGCCGACAGGGACTATCCTATGACAAATGAGCTGCAAGCCAAGTTTGCAGATGTGCCCGACAACAATGAAGAGCTTGAGGAGTTCATAGACAACAAGCAGGCAGAGGCTGATGGCATCATCTGTGCGAACTCCAGTGTGGTGGACCAATATATGGCGACCCGCAAGGCAATCGATAAGTATGAAAAGCAACTTCGCTCTGAGTCCTTGAAACTTCAGGACCTCGAAGCGATGATCAACACCCTGAAGGTGGGCTCTTTTGAATGCACTTTGTTTTTGTTTGTGACGCTACCCCTCTTATCACTTGTGCTGCTTTGATTGCTGTATTACTTTTGCTAGTTTGCCATTAACCACAGTGAGCAGGGGATAACGACCTCTGCACTGCTCATTTCCATCAACATTTGTCATGTTAGGTGCGTCATGCAGAGTACCGTATGCGTTGTCCAGGGTTCCCCCGCGTTACACCACACAAGAGGCACAGCGCCCCATCCAAGCGACTTGTGGGGTATTGCTCACTGTCCCCACAACGTGTTGGAAGAATGCACCACTTTGTGGACCTTGCGCCATACAAGCACTGGTTAAGACAGTCTTGAGCAGTGTCCCGATCTGTTGAGTGGTTGGATTTTGATGCTGGCAGCATGATGCCTGATTGAGATTGTTTAAAAAATAGGGTACAAGATTAGGAGCCCTGGACTGTCGACGAATCGATGCATGTGATCTGAGTGAATAGTATACACTCAGGTTTTATTTGTTGTATTGTGGCTGGATTTGAACAACCATTGTAATGTCTATGCATGCCCCAAACTTGTGTTGGGTTGGATTGGTTGTGCCTACTGTACTTTTGAGCCCTTGCGCTGTCTAACGTTCTCCCTGCTTTATACCCAGTTCCTCTCATGTTGAGCAACAGCAAGGTTGGTCAGTTATGCCAGAGAACGTTTTCCCAATGGATATATCCCCCCCCCCTCCACCCTTGCATGTTGTAGAGTATCCACGTTATCCCCCGTTCTGTGTGGTGCTTGTGTTACTATGGCCACGCCATTTTGTTCTGTTGCTTTTGATTGCGCTTGCTCGCGCACAGCAGAATATTGCCTTGCCAGTTAGGTGTAATGTTGGCTGCTTTTGCTTGTAACTGTTTTAAGTTATGTGCATCCAGTGCCATGCAACAGATGGTTGCATTAACAGGCGATGAACAATGTAATGCGGACAGGGTTGATTCGTCCTTCCTGTCAGAAGCGACTGATTCCCGCAAATTGTGCAGATGAGCACTGTTGTGACATGTTCTGGAATTCACATCCACAAAGTCATCCTTGGCTTCAGTTTGGTGTTGTGTCGGCTTGGTGCAGGGTGAGTGGTTGCCAGAGCTGCGGAAGGTTGTGGAAAAGATAAACGTCACCTTTGGGAGGAACTTTGCCAAAATCGGGTGTGTTTGCTACTCACGTCCTACTGTGCGTTGCTGAAAGAATATTGGCTTGAAGGCGTGTGGTTGTGGTTCTGTGTGCCTAGCAGGCGTATTGGGCGCTTTGGGTTTGTCTGGTGATGTGGCACCTGCTATCCAATGAATTCCACACCAATCTGTGTGGTGCCAGCCTTGAGGACAACTTTCCTGGGATGTGTGTTTGCCCTGCTTGTGGGTGTGGGCCACAGCATGCAAGCAGCGAGAGGAATGTGAGAAAGACAGGCTTGGTAGTTTGGGAAGAGGGGCGTCCATTGCCAGGGGGGTTGCCATCAAAGACATGATGGTGTGTTTGGGTGTCATTTTTGGTTGCACCACCTTGATGGCATGCAGCTGTTTTGCATGTGGCCCAGCCGCGCGCCCATTCTGCTGCCATTCTTTTATTTGCCATTGAAAATTTGTGTGGTGAAAGTCAATTGGTGCCATGCATTGCATGTCAAGTTTGCATGCCATTGACTTGTTCACTTGCGATTGCAGATGTGTTGGGGAAGTCCGACTGGCTGAGGAGGACAGTCATGGTGACCACTTCGACAAATATGCTGTTGAAATCATGTAAGTGCCGCACTGTGCAAGTGTGATAGTGCCACTTGCGTGGCCATTCAAGGAAGATGGTGCTGTTGAACCTGCAGCCATGAAGTCAATCTGTTGGATGGGAAGTTGCAAAGATATGGCGAACTGCTACCCCTGCTCCTGACTCCACACCATTGCTGATAGTTTTTGATGAAACTGTGGGCTATATTGTACTTTGTGCGTTTTGCTTTTTCTTTCCATTGGTGTGTGTGTGGAGGGGGGTGGTAGACAACCGGCTACAGGTGCTATTGCAGCAAAAATGCTGCAACACCTATTGGATCAAGGCACAGATTCACACTCGTGATATCCACAATGCCTGTTCCTGAAGTGGGGACTGATGATTCTTGCAACCTGTCCAAACCAAGCGTTGCTGACAGGTGGCCAGCAAACACTAGAGCGGTACAGTAGGGGTCCCTACACAGCTGTCCCCCCCCAGTAGTGACCCCCGGCCCCCAATAGAGCCCCTTTTTTGGCTTGTCACCATTTTTGTATAGTACTTTATGCAGCTTTGTTGCACAGTGGGACCTGTACCCCCTACACCGGTGGCCAGGGTACCCCCTACACCAGTGGCTAGCGTACCCCCTACAATGGCGGCCATGGTACCCCCTTAACACAATAGCACCCCCGGGCCCCAGTAACGCCCCCTTTTTGGCCATGTCACGGGGGGGCGCTATATAGGGATCCCTACTGTAGCAGATGGTGGCCTGAGCGATTTGGTCGTTCATGCTGACAGATTTTGACATACAGATTTTGGCTGGTGGATTTTGCACACTTGGTGTGTTGCGATTCTTTACTGTTTTCTTTGTGGGCAACAGGGTGAAGTTCCGTGATCAAGAAGACTTGACGCCTTTGGATGCCTCACGCCAGTCTGGTGGTGAACGCTCAGTATCCACAATGCTGTACCTGATATCACTGCAGGTGTGTTGCCCTAATAACACATCTGCTGACGTGGTGTGCTAACACTTGAAACTGTGATGTCCTCACCTTGTGCTTGGAGAACTCTAATACGTTCACATATTTGGAACTCATCCTCTGAACCAGAGTTGCTTGCCATTTCAGGGGAGCTTATGCATGCCACAGACACGTCTGTGTGCCCTTCTTCAGATTTCCAACTTTCCCATCACAGTTGAGAGAGCATGTGTCAGCTCTGCTTTTTGGTCTCTGCGACCTCCTTCCTGCCGCCTGCCTTTTGTATGCAGTGGACTTTGTTTGCTATTTGTCTTAAGGAGCTGTTGCTGCAGCAGTGCAAGGAGATGGTGTTTGATCAATGATGAGAATGAAGCTTCTTGGTACATAATGCGTGCAAGTCAGGCTTATGTCAGTACAGAGTCGCCATGGCCGTTTGGGGTCTCAGACTTTGCTTGAGCTTCCTAAGGTTCTTTCCGCCCATGTCTTCAAGTTGTGGAAGCCAGGCCCTCTTCGGATGATATTCAGAGGACATATCTGCCCCTTTAGGACCTGTTCTTAAATGCAGTCCTCACTTCAGTCTGAAGATGCTTGTCTTAAAGACACAGCAGTGCCCTGCCCCCTGCATGGCAACAGAATTGTCTTGGTCCTAAGTATCACACGTTGAGTGTCATGCAACTACATATTCCCAATATTACAGTACGATGTATGGCTGCCAGAGCAGCGATGGCATTGTTCACACGCCTTGCATCCATTTGCACAACGCCATCAGTTTGGGAGTGTTTCAGTTGGCGAAATTCAGGTTTGCTGTGCACAGGCAAAGTGTGGATGCATGATAGATGTGCAGTGTTGATGTGTATTGAGCAATGCAAAGAATGACGTTGTCCTGTCTTTGTGCAGAACGTGACAGAGACACCATTCCGAGTGGTGGACGAAATCAACCAAGGCATGGATTCCAACAATGAACGAAAGGTGTTCGACCAGCTGGTGGAGAGTGCCAGTCTGCCAGGCACCCCACAGTGCTTCCTTATCACACCCAAGCTGCTGCCCAACCTGTCATATTCTGAGAATGTCACCACGCATACACTTTTCAACGGCCCCAGCGTCAAATCGATTGTGGGGACGCCAGCCTCTGTGAGTGTCCTTGGGAGGGAGGGGGGGGGTTGGCTTGGCATCCTGCTGCAGACATCAACTGCTAGGCTTTTGCCCTTCCACAGCAAGGCTGCATCAGTGGATCCTTCAGGCATTGCATGGAATCCTGCTGTGCTTAATCAATTTTTGGTGACAAGCCAGATCCCCTGAAGCTGGTGTTGATTCTGTTGCCTATTGATCAGCATTCGAATCTAATAGTGAGTTTTTAAGCTTGCAGCACATCCAGTGTGTTTCCGTGCCATGGAGACACTGACAATGTAGTAAAACTTGCAATTTAGAAAATGTGGACCCAACAAAGCGAGATGTATGACGAGATGTATGTTGTATTTTGATGTTCTGTACATTCTCATATTTACTTTATGTGTAACCACATCACTTGTACTGGTATGAAAAATATTGCTTACCTGTCATTTCAAGATTGTTCTGTCGTCTTTGAGCAAGGTGTGTCCCATAGAACTTGCAGGTGTGTTCAGGATTGTCTGAGATGGAACATCACGGGACAGAGGGCCTAAACATTGCACTACGGAATGAACACTGTGGCCTTTACTTCTGTATATGCATTTTTCCTTCTCTTTTGTCCTGCTTGAATCTGCCCGTGCAGATCAATTGGATCGTGGTTAGGTGAATCGAACAAAGCGCTGTATGTGGGAAATGAATGGACAAAAATAGCCCTGTATCGAATTACCTGTGAATTGATAGAGGCATTGGACTGCATTAGGATACAGGTTCTTGATGTAAGGAATTTGAACAAGAAAATTCTGCACTGGCAATGATGATTGTGCCCTTGACACAGTTGTTTCTTTTGATGTGTAGGGTCTGCTGGAGAAGTTGTGTGGTTCTCGGATCCGGCAACGGCTTGCTTGACACTGCCCATGGATTGGAACAGAGCCTGACATCGCCTGCGGCAGTGTTGCGTTTCGATTGGGGTGTGTGATTTTGTTGTTGGATTGTTGGCCATGGTTCTCCCCTGCTGACTGCTTACCAGCCCAGTGTTCCAGCACAGCAGCACTGAGCTGCGGCGATCCTGCCACGATGAAAGGCAACACACCTGGAACCTCCAGAGGGCGGGTTGAGGCCTGCATAGATTGGTTCAAAGGCACAAGGGATGGCAAGTGCTTGCATCAATTCACTTGCCAACTCCGCTTTCAGTGGGCGAGGACGATGCACATCACTGCAATGGACCATCGTGTTTGAAGCGTAGGGGAGCTGCTGGCTCTAATTGCTACTGTGTTCTTTTATGACGAGTCCCTCTGTGTAGGCCATGATTTCTTTGACGATTCTCTTCTTTCTGCAACTCTTTCCTCCCTCTCGGTTCGAGTTTGGCACTGTCTTAGCTTGGTCTGAAAGGGGGGGGGGGGCCGGCCTTGAATTGTTGCTGAACGCTGTTATGAAGAATCCTGCTGTGTAGACCACACCTTCTGTAACAAGACCACAGCTTGTTGCTCCCTCTAGGGCACATGTTTGGCAATGCCTCAGTTTGGTTCAGATCAAGTCAACGGCAAGGTAATGTGTCAACTGGCAAATTCTGGCAGCTTATCCAGGACGAGAATTGATTGTGCCTGTGCGCACACTTGACTCCTTTGTCCTTGCCACCCCAATGCCATGGTTGACGAGTGTGCTGATAACTTCATGGAGCTCAGTGAAGTGGGGAGTAGCATGTAGGCAAGAGGAGGTCCCAGAGCAGGTCCTCAGGGAGCATCCTATGCAATGCAAGTTGCCATGGATATGCCACACAATGGCAGATGGCGTGTCAATGCAGAGAATGGTGTAGAAGACAGCCACATCCCCACTGTTGGATCCACACAAACAGACATCGTTGGCATCTCAAAATTACAAAGAATGAGGAACAAATTTTTTTTGATGGTACTTGTGTCAAAATTCATGCTTCCCATTTGCAGCTGAAGCTGAGAAGTGGCGCCCCTTGATGCACCGGGCACCAACGCCCCGACTCAGGACAACTGCGCTGACCACAAAATTTCCCTGTGCCCACAAATTGCTGGACGTCCACAGCGGCTCTTGCTTTCAGCCACGAGGCCAATCTCCCCACCTGCCCTGCTTGAACGTGCTTGTGTCCCGCACCAGTGACCTACAAGCGTGGACCAGTGCCCGCCACACTGGAGCCCAAACCGCAGTGCCTCTAAAACCCAGCGCAGCCGTGTGGTGACTCTTCTGTTGCGATCCTCCAACCACGCCCCACCGCCCGTTGCCAAAGCAGCCGACCACCCGCACAACTTCCCAACCAGCGTCCAGCAATCATATCCGCGCCAGACAATGGGCGGGCTGGGGACTCCATCACCCGCCTTCATGATCGCTCATCCCCTGCAGCCTTCACAACGGGCTCCCCGCGATCGCCTCCGCCGCCTCACCCGATGGGCGACTGCCCCGGCGCGAAGTACTCCCTCCGCAGCTCCTCCCTCGACACGAATCGCACCAGCTGGGCGTACTTGAACAGCAGCGGCTTGACCAGCTCCCAGAACGGCCTGAACACCCAGGGCGCCTCCACCAGCGCCACCTGCCCCAGCCGCTTGGGGTAGTGCACGAAGAACAGGGCCACCATGAAGCGCACCAGCCCCAGGTCCGCGTTGGCGGGCCCGAAGCCCCGCAGGTCGAAGACCGCCAGCACGGTCTCCCCGCCCTCGGGCAGCCGCGCCAGCGTCTCCTCCAGCGTCAGGACGGTCAGCCGCTGGCTGGAGGCCACCGGAAACTCCCCCGTCACGTGCCTGCCCGCCCGGATGACCATCACCGGCCTGCCGGCCACGTCGCGGTGCTCATGCACGAAGGCCTTGCCCGTGGCCGCCTCCCTTGCCGCGGACTCCCTGCTCAGGCCGTCGATCCCAAATTCCCTCCGCCACTTTGCCGTTTTCCTGATCTTGTCTTCGGCGGCTGCGGCGTCGAACCGGCGGTCGCGCAGGAACCAGCGCTGCGTGGCGCCGTCCGCCGCCCAGGGGTCGCCGCAGGAAGCCAGGCGGGCCCGCAGGTCCTCCAGGGCTGCCACCTCGGCCGCGGATCCCGTCCAGGGGGCGATGCGCACGGGTCGCGGGGACAGCACGCTCGCCGGCACTGCCTTGGCAACGGTTGGGCGGAGGGAGCAAAGCCGCGGGGGTGGTTTGCGCCCCAGCCGCCGCGATCTGGCGATCTGAGGGGAGAAGCGATGAGGCGCTGATCGGAGAATCGGTGGACGTGGGGTGGCGTGGGCGCCTGCGCTGCTCAGGAGGAGCAGCGCCATCCGGGGGACCGGGAGGTGGTCACCCGCCGCGGGGCGCCGTTGAGACGCACGACGCGCCGCGGAATCGGCGCATGCGCGCGATGGTGCGTGGGGAGGCGGGCGGGGGCGTCGTTGGGTGTGGCTTGTGGCTTTGGCAGGGGAATTTGAGGCTCGCATTCCCAAAGGGAAACGCGGTGGTGCAATGGGGGGGCGGGGGGTTGGTGCTGACGACCGGTGACGATCGGCGCCAGCCACCGGCTGTCATCATCAGCGTTGTCTTACAGAGCAAGGCAATGTGGTAGCCGTCAGCTTCCACGCGTGGTCACCGAGGTGGGGTGAGAGGTCGATGTGTAGTGGTGGTGCAATTGCAATCCGTCGACATTGCGGGTCGAGCCAATCTGCACGAGCCGCATCCGTCAATTAAAAAGCATTGCACATCAAGGGGAGGAGGTAGCCGCCGGCACCTGCTTCGCCCTGTTCAAGTTGCTGCTTGGTGCACAGCGCAATCGCAGGCCGTTTTGTGCCTTTTGACGCTGGGCTGGACGTTGTGGTTCAGGCCCATCTGCTTGGGCGAGTGCGCGACGTTGAATGTTGTATTTAGGGGTTGCCCTTGCAAACACCTGGGTTTCAGTTTGGGGTGCGGCAATGAGATTGCATGTTGTTTGCGCAATCTTTCGACTGGTGGTGGCGTTGCCATTTGCTCTGAAGCAAGTCTCTGATGGCGCGGGTGATTCTGCCTGGAATGGGCCGTTTTGTCCTGCATTAAACGTGGAACGGATGAGTGGCTCATCAGTGCACCAAGCGTAAACAACGCTGGTTAGAAGTTGCATAGGCACTTCCGGCCCCTCAACTCAGCCCAACACCAATGGAAGTTCATGCTGGCCCTGCTGAGGGAGTAGCGCGAGTCTGCCTGGCTGCATCCCGGTTAACTGCCACGCGAATCCGTGCAAGCACCGGCCATGGGCAACCTTGCAGACTCCATGCAGACCGTGACCACGCATATCACCATGCACTCAACAAGATGAAACGGGAGCATCAGCGGACAGAGCCAAGGACATGCAAAACAGTTCAAACATCAGCGATTCAACCAACTCCCTCTCGGCCAATTGGGCGCCTCCTCCTGTGCTTCAGCAGCCGCCAAAAGCGGCGCTTTCGTTTTCAAGCCCGTTGTCCATACCACCCACACCACAGGCGCCGCAACACGGGCAACACGGTGCCAACAAATCCCAGGATGACCGAATCCTGTCCCATAGCGGGCGCATCGTCCGCCAAAACTATCGTCACACCACGTGACGAGGTCCAGACGCAACCACAGTGCCCCCAACCAACCCAACCACGGCGCCCCCAACCCACACTGGTCCCCCATTTCCCCACTGCGCGACGACCCTCGCCATCTCCATTCACTCCACTGGCGCGGGCATCACAGCCACTGTGGTTTGACCTCAAGGGCCGCCCTTGTGTGGCTCAGGTCGACCTCCTTGGCGGCCACCGACCTGGCCCTCTTCAGGATGTACGAGGGCAGGGAGCGCGTCCGGGGCCGGAAGGTGCACTCCCAGAGCTCCTCCCGCTCGCGGTCCTGGCGCGCCAGCGCGGCCTGCTCGTGGCGCCGGGCCTGCCTCTCCCTCAGGGACGCCATGTACAGCCCTGGGTGGTGGAAGCTCACCGTCGGATGGACCACGGCGACCTTAGGGGGCAGTCACACGGGCATGGTGAACACGCCCAGGTACCCATTGTGGAAAGATGACATAAGAATGCCATTGCATCTATTCCCCAGCGATGTGTTGCACTGTTAACATCCAGAAGTGGGGTTCCCTTTCTCAAAATTTTCCTCTTACAATTTGCATCAAAACAGTCTCGAGAGTCTGGTCTCAAAGGGCAAGGATGCTGGTGGCATGCGCATCGTCTGAGGGCCAGCTGGCTGGTCAGTCATGGGGCACTCACAAAAAATTTCCACACTGTGCAGATGTTAACTTCGTCACTGACTGTTGTGGTAGCTTATTCTGGTTGACTACCACGTGGCATATGCAAGCATATGCATGTTATCCATACAAACATATGAAAACGCAACAAGTGGACATGTATTCAGCAAAATTGTCAGTTCAGCAACGTCAGCATCAAATCTGCAGCGATGAGATTGTGGACATATGTGGACTAGACACAATACGTTCTGGTGTTGATGCTAGATGAAATCCGGCCAACATCCACACACCTCGTTGTAGCCCCTGGTGCTGCTGAGATCTGGCTTGAAGGTGGCTCCTTCCAATTCTGCAGCTTTTCTCTCAGCACGTTTGGCCTCCTGTGCACAGTTAGAGCAGTTCTGTCCTGCAATATCAGCTAGGAACTGTTTCCAGCGCATCGCAACATATACTTGATGAACAGTTCTCCCAGTTAGGCAAACTGAGCACAGTCAACTGAGTGGGCATACAATGGCATGGCACCCAACAGCACCACAATCATTGCCCCGAATAACGTTGAGAATCTATCCTTGAATTCTTACCAAGTTTGCCTCTCTTCTGTGCAACTCTGCTGAACTCAATTCATCCAGTGAGCGAGATGGCTTCTTTTGTGCCCTCCAGGAAATCTTGGGCCTGAATGTGCAGCCTGGATATGGCACACGGCTGCCTCTCCTATGGATTGTCACAAAAAATGCTGTCAGCAGGTGTTCTCTCAAGGCACACCTTGCAAAAAGTAGGTCTCCTTGAGTAGCTCGACGATTTTCAGATGCCTTGATGCAAGAGTTCTAAGGACAGGCTGTGTGCACGCTCCTTATTCTACGTTGTGGCGAATAAGAGAAGATAGGTATCACCATGCTTTGTGACACAACATTTTCTTGGGCAGTGCAACTTACCCACGTCCATCCACAAATAACTTGGATGGATTCTCATGCACATCATTTTTAAGAACAAACTGTTGGGGAATAGACATGGCTGCACATTTGTCTCCCATTCACTTGATACAATCTGCACAATTTTTCATCTCAAGTTCACTGCTTATGCCTTCGATCATTTGACTTGGTGACCCAGGAATGTTCCAGGCTCTGCCATATAACCTTCAAACACGAATCTGGGAATTTTGTTGAACCGTGCAACATTAGGCTTCAATGGGATCCAGTCAACCATACATTTGTTGCTGACAATAAGGAGTTTGAATCTTGACCAAAACAAGCATAATGGGTACCAGCGAGCTAACAAAACCTGCATAGACACATGAATCAGCGATTACAATATTTGCCAGTGCATACTATACACACACACACAGATTATTTAAAATGCAGCATGAAATCATACTGTGTGTTTCAACATGAAGACTACTCTGAATCGGGCATTTTGCGCACCCCATGGTTTTCCCCTTGCAAGGTCCAATGGTACTGGAGGCCGAATTTCCAGCCTCGCTTTCTCTTCCCAACCCTGCATCCCCACCCTCTCCCTCCAAATTCTGCTCTGTCACGTTTTTATCCCTTGAAAGCCTCTTCTCCCGTTGCTCCAAGATTCTTCGCGAGCCTGGGGACATCTGCTTGCACAGCCAGTGCACATATAACCACTGCTCGTCAAAGAGCGTGGCGCTACTGCCAGTAGCACACGCACACACACACACAAAGTACTGCTGTGCCATTGCTGCTAATGTGTGCCCAATGCAGCGCATCCCAGCAGAAAGCTGCCCGAGCCTGTGAAGACAGCGTCACAGCACAAGACTTCTTTGCGCGCATACATTCACAAGCATGTTTGGGATGTCAACAGGCGTATCCTAGCACAACAGATCGGCAAGGTGCAGCCTGCATCGCCTGCACACTCTTGTGATGTGGCACTAGGCCCACATCACTTCGATTAGGATGACAGTGGCGTCTGACTTTTGAATGCGATGAATGTTATGGAGTCCAGAAGGAAATTACTGGGGGCAGATCACCCACAAATATCAGCTCTGAACCAAGTGAGGGTTGTAATTAGCACAGCGCTAGGATATGCTGTGGGCAGGCTAGGGTGGATTGTGGGCAGGATCGCAAACACTCAAGCAGGACTGTTTGAGGTCTGGCTTAACAAGGCAAATTGTGCATGGTCCAATGTGGTTGCCCCACCTGCAGTCCTGGCACAACTGTCCTCCTCAGCTCTTGCAGTTTCTGTTCCCTGTTCTCAGCAAAGGTGGTCTGGCTGCAAGCGAACAAAACAGCAGATGTCAGTCGCTGATAGGACAAAGCACGTTGCGCAAAGTTGCACGTCCATCTGCATATCTGAAAGGCCGTCAGGCAACTCCTAAACCTGGGGCCTGGACACAGAATGCGATTTTTGTTATGGACTGACACAGAAGCCTGCTTCAGGATAACCTTGCTGTTGAGCTGCTGGCCTTGTCTCTGCACAACAATATTCTGGTTGATGCCCGGGTGAATCAAGTCTGCAACATATGGCTTGTTTGATGAAGAGAATACTTCCTTGCTCCAAAGCACTACCAAATCCGCCATGCACAGAGGACTGACACGAGTTTTGACAGCATACTCCAAGCTCAAAGGCAGAACTTTAGATGAAGCTTCATTGTAAACTGAAGTCTGTATGGTGGGGCAGTAATGCACCAAAGTCATGGATGACAATTGATACAGGACAGAATAAGTAGTCGATGAAGCAAATAGAAATATTCAATTCCTCTTCATGGAATGCAAGGAATGTTCCACACAATACTGCACAACAAACTAATGTGTCCAACCAGCTTGCATATGCTGATCCTTACCGCTTGAGAAAATCATCAACGTCCACTTCTGAAACGGAGACAGTGAAAGTGTCATTCAAGTCGTCGAGCGTGCTCGATGCAGGCTGGGGTCTGAACGACCTTATGACCGCTCTAGGGGTGTGGCTGCCAGACACAGTGCCCTGTTCTTCAGACCCAGCTGGCTCTGAAACTGCCGGAACGGGCTTTGCACCGTCAACACCGCCAGCAATCCTGGACAGTTTTCGTCACACAAAGCAACTGAACATTATCAACAAGTATCAGTTCTTACAGTTGCATACTTGGATGATACTTGGAGATGATTTCCCTGAGGACTCGAACACCAGGATGACACCACCTCCATGCTGCACAGTGCCTACAGGCGCCTTGTTTTCCCCTTTTATTCCAAAAAACAAGGCAGTATGTGCGTACACATTGTACATTGATGGGACAGGACTGGGGCCTGGCTGCTGCACCTTTCACTTCCATGAGACAGCACTGGTGCCATTCAGGAAGCTTCCAAAGCATTGTCGCATCTGGACACACACTGGCATGGGAAGAAGATGCAACATTTTGGGGTATTGAACATTCAATCAGGCTATTTGACATGCACCCTGCAACAAATCGCCGGCACAGCCCCCACATAGTAGTGCACCTCAGTTCAGACAATCCAAGTATGCATTGAGGACGCTTGTGCAGCACATTGCCCTGGCCGAGGACACTGACGTCTGAATTGAGTTTCATGTTGCTGGGCATGAACAACAAGGAGTGCCAATTATCTTCAAGCATCAGTGAGCGCTCCAAAGTGCAAAGTGCTGCAAACACAACAAGAAAGAACACAAATACCACTTAATACTGCAGTGCGCTGCCAATATCTGTACCTTCCATATTTGGAGTGGTTGGGTATAAAATCACTAATTGCTGTGCCGTGAGTATAATACTTCCTCCGTCCCATATTAATTGTCGTCTATGATTTTAGGACGTTATTTCTCCATGGTGCCTAAACTAGTTTTTAGTAAAATTTGCCCCAAAGTTGTGCTTGGGAGGTTGGAGTATACTATCAAAATTTCAAGTCGATGCATTAAGTTTTGAGGATTTGGCAGTACTTTGTAGCAAGGGTCCTTTGGCCAGAAAAGGGTCGTTTGTGGACGTTGCGCTGAAAAACAGCTGTTTTTGGCTGTTTTGAGAAGTACTCCTTCGCGGCAGCGAAACAAACCCGTCCTTGCAAAACTACTCATGCCGTTCAGAGTGGAGGGCACTAGGGTGCTTGCAAAGGGGTACGGTGATAGAAAACGTGTTTCGAATGCATTGATCGTCGAACTCGCCGTGCGTCGCAGCGTCGATTTAGGCTTGATCTGGGGCATCGGAGTGATGTTCCGGACCCTGATTTTTTTGGTCAGGGGCTTTCGAGCTCCTTTACCACCGTCAAAGCAACTGAGGGGGGTCTCCCAATCCTTTTAACAAGGAGCCAGAGATGGTGATGGCTATCATCTCGATATAGCATGAACAATTAGTGAATTGCCTATTGCCATGGGAATGGTGATTTGTCCTTGTTTCGGAACTCCAGAGGATTGATTGCAAGGAAGATGGCCACAAAGGTGAATTCAGGTCTTTTGGAGTGATGGAGTCTTGCTAGGTTCCAATGGATTGTGTACTGCACACAAGCATCGGCCATTGTATCCACAAACAATGGCAAATTTGGGCTTCCAGTTTAGGGGCCCACGCAAGTCCCGATTCAAGCATCAACTAAGGCAAGATGTCCGAGCAAGGCTACCAAACAGCCTTGGAGCGACAAAACGCACTGAGCCTAGGCTTCAAGATTGTATATGTTGGCCTTTCCGCTCGTTGGAGATCCCCCCATCGGATATCGAGAAAAGCGGCGATTTCTGGCATCATCAATGCTGTGACGATGGCCTAAGGCAAGGATAAAAGCGCGTTCGAGCGTGTTTGGCAAGTGCTATGCCACGCACCGGATCCCATCCTTTGCCACAATGGTGGCAACCACTAGCGTTGCCATTCCTGGGCACGGGAACGCCCCCAAACTGGGGGGGCCTGCAAGACTGCGGAAATTGAACGCGCATATTTTGGACAGTGTCAGGGCAGTTTGGGGGGGACAGTGTCAGGGCAGTTTGGGGGGGCAGCTCACAGGGGTGAGGACTAAATATTTTTTCTTGAAAATTCGAACTTAGGGGTTTTGAGACCCAATCCTTCCGATTCTGGCCTCCATTTGCAATTTGGATGCCGTTTTCATGACAAGATTTCTCTCAAATAGACGACAATTAATATGGGACGGAGGAAGTACCATCAATGCCTGCTGAACACGACATTGTTGCTCTGCCACAAACCCGAACCTGCTGAGTTGTGTTGCAAACTAACCTGTGGCAGTGCGCACCCTCCAGCTGGCTTTCACCGTTAACCAGGCATCCAGATTTCGACAAGACCCTTTGCACATTGGTCTTGGGGTGGAAGGTACATTCTTCCATACCTGGCAGACGGTAAAAGGTAGAAGCGCTCAGGCCTCAATCATGCAGGAATTGAAAGGCAACGGTCTCTGCACAGTTAGCTTGAACAAGGCCATGAACAAAATGACAGGAAGCACAACAGCCTGTCCACACGATTCCCAAGTGCATCTCCACAAACTGACAATGGCCTACAGTTTTCAAACTGCAGCAGTTTGGTCCACGAATCCTTTAGCCAACAGCAAATCAAGATGTTTATCAAGATATTAAGGAAGACTCGCGCTGCATGTTTCTGCACTCCCAATCGTCAGCATGCTGCCCAACCTTTGCAATGACACTTGGTAATGACAGCTGCGGGCCAATGGCCAGCATGGAAATGTTCAGATACGCATTGAAGCTCTGGCATTGTGACAACTTGGCAGAAGCATGAAGATGCGCTGGACCTTGTTTCAATTCGGACTCTGCACGTGCTGGAACAATACTTCAAATCGTCTTGTGGGTGACTGGGCATTCATTTGCCAGTTGCTGGCACCAGCAGTCAACAAAACACTTCAGGCTGCAGACAGTTTCGTTGCTGCAGAGCTGTTGCGCTATTTGCGGTGTTTCCTTCACTCTGTTTGTCATGTACAGTTCCCACATCTGTTCTTGCTGCATCGATTTCCGAACATTGCCCAAGTGCCACTACCGCAGACTTTGACAACCTTCAGCACCTTCCATGGTGCAACTGTGGGGCTTCGTTGCACTATATGACCAACAACAAATAGTGTATAGATATGAATACATTATGACAAACACAACCAACAGGAGTTCAAGGATTCAACAGAAGAAAGTCCAAAGTTACGATGCCAAAGGCTATGGAGATGAAAGAAACTCCAGAGTCGAATTGTTCATGAAGCAGAATTGGGAACCTGTGGGGAGGGGCGAGAGCTTTGGCCTGGTGGTGCCCTGGCCGCATCCACTGCCATAGATCTTCTCCGGCAGGGGTGCAGGCCGAGGGGCTGATGCCGCCATCTGCTGACGTTCCTCCAGCAGTCTGCGTTCCAGGCACTCCTGTTGCCGGCAGCGGTGGTGGCAGGCCAGGGTGTACAGCCGTAGGCATGCCTCCAGTGAGGTGGAACCCTGGGACCCATCCGAACAGACGGTCTGAGCATTGCGGAGCGCTGCAGAGGGACAAACACGGATAATGCTCAAGGCGGGGCCCCACACTTCAAGCAGTGCACTGTGGTCGAGCTGCACAAATGCATTAATTCAAGCAAGTGTGTAATTGGTGACGGAAGGCATCGCCCCCTGAGGCAGCAGAAATAGAGCGCCAAGAGCAGGCAAAAATAGTAGGTGAACTTTGAGGGAACAAAATCAAGCGGCATTAGAGGTGCAGTGCGAAGGGCTGCACACACAGTGATTGTTGAGACATTGGCACGATTATCATGATGTCATTGAGCAACTGGGAAGTCAACAATGGACCATGTACAGCCAACATTCAGGCAACAACGAAGAACGTTTGTAGGCAGGTATGTCACATAATAAAAAAATTCGGTGCTACTGTGGTGTTGACAGATGGGCAGACTGTGTCAAAATCTCAATGTGATGCTTTGCTTTGTACAATGGCATGCCATGGGCAGTATCACAAGGCAGATTGTTGTTATGCAGAAATTAGCTCTGTGAGAGCACAAAGCTGACAGCCTTAACACAGCCAAGCACAACCAAATGGTTGCTGATGATGTGCCACTGCACAGTGGTTGGGACATTACCAAGAAACAATAGCTTGTGGTAGTCCTTTGCAAAGCAAGCTGGACAAAACAAAGTGCACAATAACAAGCCCCAACACTGGGTGTCCCTCAACAAAATTTGACTCCAAATAAAAAATGAGAAAAATATCAGAACGGCGCAGTGTTAGAAGATTGAAAGGTCACCCTCTCACTGGCAGGCACAGCATTGGATCAGCACTCACTGGATTTTCCAAGCTTTGCAGAAGACTGCTCTGTGACCTTGATGTGCGAATTGTCATCCTGGAAGTAAGTTAGCATTGATCTGTCACTTTTTTCCTGCAGCAATGCACATCCATTACTTTGATTGTCAGTGAACACAGCAGCAACTATCACGTGCCAAGGCAGTGTCCATATCAGCGACTGCACCATGGTTCATCGCGTTTAACACGTGGACGTGAGTAACACCAAGCTGGGATTCGTAATTCACAGGATCCTGAGGCCATCCAGACTCAAGGATCAATGGCAGTAAGCCCGGAAGTGAGGGAAACGCCTCGTTCCAAATCTGAAGGCAGAAGTGACTGGCATGTGTTTGGATTCCCAGCAGTGCCAGGAGGAGCAGGCTATTGTGGACAAATGAATGCCGTACTTTCAGCCATGCAGACAATGAAACATATTTGTCTGAAAATCACGCCCTCCCACAGTTGACAAGCTTATGACCAAACCTTGGCTCTTGATACCTAGTGCAGGAGCTGGAAAGCCAGCAGAATGCAGAGGCACGATCATAAGGAGAACAAACCTGTGCTTCACAATTGCCTACTATCGTCTTCAGGGTGCAAGGGTGCCCTCCAGCCATGCAAGGACAAGTGCAGTCCTAAAGAACTGAGACCTATTTTACCACAACGAAAAACATCTGCAGAGACCCACCGACATGGATTCACATTCTGCTTTCGGCGATCCTTTGCGGTTAATATTCGGTGAAAACGTGCACTCCTTCAAGGAGTCATCATCCTTCCTCTTCTTCTCCAGGACACACTTGTTCTCAGCCCTCTTCTTCCAGGCGTATGTCCTGTCATACACCGTGCTCCAGTTCCGGGGCGCTGTGCGAGTCCGTGGGCTGCTCCACCCCTGGAGGCAATCCATGACGTGTCCGGCGTGGGAGGGGCAGTGCTCGGAGGGCGGTGGGGGGTACAGGACCTCTGCAGCGCTGACATGCCCTTGCGGTGGGTTCTCGAATGGAACATCGGGAGGATTTCTTGCTGACCAAATAGAGTGAGTGTCAGCAGTGCCCCATATTGGCATTGGATGCAGACACAGATTCGTCTGGCCACGCTGTCTGTGGAATCCCATTGATCACTTGTGTCAACAGAATCGCCACAGCACCCTTACACCTCGCAGGTGGAGATGGTCACAGATAATACACTCAACGATTGTCGATTGTCCTTAGGCTACTACACTCTTCGCAAGGATACATTCACTTTGTCATTCTGGAGAGACTCCAGGAGGTGGCTACACAAAAACAAACATCCCCTGATAGGTGCAAGGGCAATCCTTGTTGTTCTGGGTGAATGTTGCACCAGCACATCTCACACTGGGGCATGCACATCAACCCACTCCGAGTACCACAGTGATGCACAGATCAGGCACAAGACACCGCTCAGACATCGCAAGCAACCTGTGAGCCCCACGTGTTCCCAATGTTGGGGCCATGCTGTGACAGTGAAGAGCTCAGCGCAGATGGAGTCACCATGGCTGCAAGTCCAACAGGCTGCAACTTACCTCGCGCAACCTTAGATCGCGCAGCATATCCCAGCCATTCTGGGGGCTCCCTTCCCTGAGTCCGCTGTGTCTCTGAGAGGCCACTGGGTTTTCTTGGGGCCGATCCCTGCACAGAGTGAAGAGAACTGCCCGGTGTGCCATTCGCGCCGTGAACCTGGGAAGGGCTGCCTGTGGATATGTAGCCAGTACATGCCACACCTCAAACTAGCAACATCAGTAATAGCTGGTACTTGGCAGGCATGAAGGTCTGCACAGAGGGCCGTGCAATGGTTGGGCGTCAAAAAGAATAGATTGCGCAATGTGCAGCAATTTTGGCAGCATACTGGAGAATCTTTTGACCTCTGAAAATTAACCATTCACACTGGCACCAGAAGTGCACATGGCAGTTCGAATACTTCTGATTATGTTTGCACAGTTGACAAGGCACAGCCCTTGCATCAATTCTTCTTGATACAGACGGGTGCTCCTGTTGCAAGGCATGTTTCTCTTCCTTGTCAAAATGAATAGTGATCAAATCTGGAAGTGATAGAAGACCACAAGGCTCATAATTTGTTCCCTTCTACACATCGTTCCTTATTCAGTGGAACTCTACCACCAGGCAATGGGAATGAGCAAAGCGATCCACAGAACCTGCATCACCTGCTGCTGCGGCCTCTGCTGCAGTCACTGCCATGGTCCCTGCCGCCAGTCTGGTCATTGACAGCTTTGCTGTCAGTGTCCGATCGATGCCAAGAAGCTCCTCTTCCAGCGACTGTGCACAGGCATTTGGTGTCAGCACACAGGATCTACGAGACAAGGACAAGGAAAACACCTGACCGGGCCATCAACACCATGCAGTGCATCAACAAGGCACCACAGCTGCAGAATTCAGCACCCCCGATCCCTGCACCGAGCACATTGCTGACTATGACAAGCACAGACTCGGAAGAATCGCTTCAACTAATTTCAAGCACGAATCAGTGGGCCATGCACCTGTTCCATGTGCATCAGTCGGATGAACTCCTGCTCATCCAGAAGCCCGGATGAGTTTCTGTCCACCGCCACTCCCGCACCCTCCAATGCGCTCTGGCTCACCAGTTCCCCATTTGATCCACTGCCCGAAAATCGCCCTGAGCGTGTTCCCTCTGCTACAGCAGCCCTCCGTGCATCGCTCGCCCCCGGGTTGGCCCCCTCAAGGTCGCGTAGTTTTGGCTTGCGCTCAAGTTCGCGAATGAGCCTCTTGGCCTTGCTGCCTTTGCTACTGACAGGTGCAGAAGCGGGGCGACAGGAGGACTTGCTGCCCTGTTGCCTTTGGTTTCCTCCAATGCTTCCCTTCGGGTGACCCTGAAACGGAACGATTCAATCAAAGGCAGTAGCCATTGTCAACCCTTACATGGGCTTCCTTCTTGGTTGGTATCAGAGCCTGGGAGCACCCCCATTCCACGGACAAGCACCCAGTTGTCTTCCACCGCAGACCCAACACCTTTCCGTGTGGGGCAATTCTGCCCCATCCATTAGGAAATGCAAAGATCGCAGGCATTGATGCACAACAACGCTTTTGAGCACGGCAATTGAACGTCAGCAACGCCAGCGACGGGCACAGCATGGATTTCAATCGCAGGACCCAACGCATGTCTCGAGGAATCCAATCTAGACATCACCAAAGCCAGACAAACACTAATATTCATGCCCTAGCCGTCTCTTTAGGGTGCATGCATTCTTGCTCTTCGCGGTGTTTGCGCTGTGTGCTGCTATTCATGCACTGGAGACCCTGCGCCATGTTTCTAGAGTATGCAAAAGAGTTCACGCATAGTTGCTCAGGAGGATTTGCCTTCTGTATGGCTTCTTCCTCTATTCTCCTTTACCAAATCTTACCGGTCTCTTTGTCTTCCCGTAGCCTATCGGCAGCCGCAGCGACTCCATCAAGTCCATCACCTGGTCAATTGGCAACCCGGACGCCTGGTATCCCCTCGTGCCGCCACCCGGCGCCTTCCCTCCAGGCGTCAGGCCAGGCTCCTCCGAAGCGTAAGCAGCCCTTTGCCCGGCGGATCCGCCGACTCCCACAGGCTCTTCCGTCTCGAGCCCATTCTCAGTCGATTCTAATTCTGAATCGGGTGGGCCCTGGGCACCGGCGAGAGGGCAAGGCGCATCGGCGCCACAAGATTCCGACGACTGGTCCGCGTCTGGGACGTCGTTTCCACCCGTCAGGTCGGTCTCCTCACACGGGGGAACTTCATGACTGCCGCCGTTCGTCCCATTCTCACCCTCAACCGGAGTCGAGGACGCCTGAAGGCACGGCCCCTGGCCGTCGCTGGCACACGCCGGGGGCGCTGCCGGCGCGTCTTGGGCGCATTCCCCGCCCAAATCCTCTCCGCCCAGTATGCTCCCGATCTGGCATCGAGTTGACATGAAACGGAGCTGTGAGCACTAATCCAACATTTCATTAATTTCGTTTCACATGTTCACGGCGTATGTTTTGTGTTTTCTCACATTGTACTCATTTTCGGTGCGTCTTTTACCGCATGTTTCCCTCTTTCCGGCATTTTTCTCACCCCCTCACCCCGTTCTCTCTGCCTGGGGTGAACATCTGCAACTGGATAATCTGACCGAATGACGCAGTTCCAGCGCGAAGCAGGCAGCAGTTCGTGGCTACACTCGCATAATCCCCGTTCGCTTTCCGGTCGGACCAGTTCTCTCCATCTTACCCCAAATCATACTATGCAAGCCTTACTGTGCTTGGTTATCTGCTTAATAACGTCTTCGTGAATGTCCCAAAGATTGCCTGCCCCAAAGTGAAATGTGCAAAACGAAATCGCACACATATCCATGCAGACAACAGAACAAATTACATCCGTCAATTAAGAGTCCGGGCATTCACGCGCTCAACGCAGCACGTGTACACTCACGGGCGTCGTAGGTCGAGTGTATCAACTTCAACATCGCTATTGAGCGTTGCAGTACATTCCATGACATAGGAAAACCAAAACGACCGCTCTTTGGCTGCTACAGTTGAGCCTCACCTTGAAGTGCCATAATTTCCCGTAACTGTTTCCGTGCTGTCGCATCTTGCATTTCAAGGTACATTTGGGGTCTTTTCGTGTGCCAGAAGGGTGGATGGACGCTTGTTCTCAGGCGTGAACAATCGGATTCGCATTTCCTTTGCCATGTATGGGACAGGCTATACCCTTCAAACTCGTACATAAAAACACCAGAACAATATCTGAGGCCTGAGCCAGGCTGAAGTTGGGAAAATTCACAGGATACTCAATAGCATTCCGTTAACAGCACGCATACGTATCATCTAACTGTGTCCAAAGTTGCCTATCGTATGCACTTTCCAACCTGTTTGTTGAGCTCTTCAAGCTCTTCATCTTCCTTCTTGTGCTCTTGCTTCCTTCGAACGACGCTTTGTATGTTCTGGGCACATGAACGGCACTCTTGTTCTCAAGCAACTTCCGATATTCTTTTGCCTTAGTCCGACACCATTTTCCTCGACACGTGCAGGCACAAGGACTGTTTTTTAACACTACCGAGAAAATGAAACTATTAGTTTTAGAAAGGCCCAGACGTCACATGCGCTCTCATAGTAAGGGTGAAGCAGGCACAGGAAAGGACATATGCTGTCATCGCAGGGTTTGACCAACACGAGCTACCGCACATGTGTGGAGGGGTGCATTTCCGGAAATTTCCGCTGGAAATTTTCCGGCACCAAAATTTTCGCTTATGCGACTGCGAATGGGGGCAACATTCTACGACCAACGTTGGGATGGTCTCTCCATCCATTGTCTTTCAGCGCTAAGGCAGTAGCTCGCCATTTCAGAGTAATTGAACCCAGGACTGTCCAGAACTGTCTTTCGCAGACACACTGCACAGCGTTTGCGCTGTTGGAAAATGACACCTGAAACATGCGTATTAAAAATACTTATCTGTACTTTTGTCGCGTTTCATATCTGGTTCATTTTGTTCCAAGTGTTCTTGTAGACCTTTTTGACCTCAACTGCGCATTTATGTTTTAGCTAAGGATCCCCACTCGAACATGGGACGCACTGCCACAACATTGTTTGAAGCCACTGCACAGTTTGTGAACACAAACAGAAAACTGTGAAATGAGTGATATTTTACTACATTTTCATTGAAGTGAACGCAATACTCTAAATTTCCTCGCAGCTGACAAACATCATTTAATAAAAGGGGAATGAGGCCGCACAAGGACCACCACCCTGCTGGTAGCCTACACAATCACCCGCCGAATTGATGCTCCGCCAGTCAACAAAAGTTGCTGCAGAATTAATTTCTATGCAATGTGTATATAGTACACATTGTAAAGGAGGAAACCGCAGATCTGTGGTTTTCACAAATTATGGGTACAGCCCAGTTGGGTGCAGAATTTTCGCGAAGTCACTTTTCAGAACTTTGATCGCATGCACTTTGAGACCATGCCCCCTCACAAGTGAATGACACCAAAGCACGGTTCCTGTATTGTATGACTGCATTTTGTACCATATTGAACTGATTTAAAAGATATCTATACGGCTGGATGCATTTCGAATGCGTTTCACAGTAATTGTGCTGGATTTTATGAAGTACACTCTGTTATATCATGGAATTGAATTTATCGAAATTGCCGCTTAATCCTCCGCATGAAATTAGACATGTTTGTTGCTTTATTATTATACTATAACACAGCAAGGGAAGGAGGTGGCCGTATCCCGGCAGCAAGCGCCCGCCTCATCCTGACCTTGATGGCCTCCTCGTCGAGGGATAGGAACCTCAGGGGCGGACTCAGTTCGTCGACCTCCTCCGCACCCGCGACTCCCGCGCTCCGGCCGCGCGCCTGGGGGCCCCCCACGCCGCCTCCGTCCTCCGATATCTCTCCCGCTTCCCCGCGGCCGTCGCCGCCTCCCGCCCCGCCCTCCTCTGCCCCTGAAGGCGGCCCCTCCTGCTGACACGGTTCCATCCACAGCCGCCCCTCGGACGATTCGCCAGCCAACTGCCGCGGCGGACTTTCCCTCACGCGCGTGGCCGTCAGCACGGATCTCCCTCAGCCCTGCTTGCGCCTGAGGCGCGGAGACCACTCCAGTCACGTGGGCGGGTTCTTGCCAAACGCCTTTTGTTGCCACGGCCTTTCGAGCAGTACCGGACGAACAGTGGTCGCTGGGCGCTTCCTCTGCGGACGGAAGGAATAGGAGAGGTGCCTACCGGACGGAAGTCTTAGACGGAAGGCGAGGAGAGGCGGGGCGCTCGAGGGGAGACGACGAGAGGCGACGGAACCGCCGGCGACGATCCAAGGCGCGTGGCGGGGCCTGTACCAAGGACCGGGGCGCCTCGAAGCCGCCCGGCGCGTCCGGCGTTACTAGCGCGGGCCGCTGGCGCCGAAGGCGAAGGGAGAGGCCGCCGGGTGTGCTCCGGCAAGCTCGTCGCGGCGGGGCGCCGCAGACGTCGGGAGAAGGGCGGGGGGGAGCGCCTCCCGTTCTGCACCCTTTGACGTCGAATTCCGAAGGGGTTCAGGAATTGACCCACCTGGGCTTCCGGCGCGGTTGGCAGGCTCGCGGCCCGGACTGCCCAGCATCGAGCGACGCTGGACGTGGTCGACGAAATGACGTCCTGTCCAGCGAGCCACTTCCCGGGTGTGGCCGGCACCAAGTGAGGTGAATCGCCGCCTAGCCGAGCGAGTCGCCCGTCGAGGAGGCTGTCTGCCCGGGGGCGGAAGTTGGGCACGTCATGTTGACGGGCGTTGAGGGTCGAGGCGTCCGCTAAGGAATGGCCGCCGAGGTGTTGACCGCCATATCCATCGCGCCACTCGGTTCCGGACACGTGACGACAAATCGATGTTGATGATGTTGGCAAATCAATGAAGTGGTTTTGACGCCCTCCCTTTGGAATCACCATCGCCATGACATTTTGCTCAGAAGGGCCAGGAGGTGGCCGTCAGCGTCCTGTCGTGCTCGAGCGAAACGATGTCCATCATCTGCTCGTCGAAATCCAATGTGCGACACAAAGGACGCTCCACCATCCAAAATCACAAATTTGCGAGAAGTGTTTGTCAATGATAATGCGCGGAAAGAAATGCTTTCGCCAGTTATAGAGCTTGAAAAGAAGCGAGAAATGTTTCTGGTCTGCTGCGTTGCAAAACGGCTCTGTTGGTTTTGGCGTGTTTCATCGCATACATCCGTCGCATACCATTGTATCGCTCTCCTTTCTTTCAATGAAGGACGTTCATTGATTCAATGAATTCATGTAGAAATCATGACGACATTTTACATGAATGCATGATTTAATTGACAAACTCATGAAATTTCCATTCATTCGTGAAGTCTTTCTGTTTCTATGATTAGGAAAGAAAGAGAATGAAGCTTGAGATAAGTTTCAAACTTGTTTGAAGTAGCTTCCCTTTCGTCCTTTGCTGTTAGCAGGACTCTGCTTATGCAGAAGAATGGGTATTTCACAGGAATAGCAGCTTCTTTATGTACACTATCTCATAGTCGACGGTGCACCCAAGCCCCAATATTTATCAGAAAAAAAATTGGCCGCATAGAGAACTTCTGAAGACTCCATTGACACGTGAAGGTCAAGGTATGCAAACAATGACTTTCACATGGTGGCTTGAATTTTCAATTGAGAGATCCCCAGCTTGTTGACCATCAACTTCGAAGTTGCTATATGGTGCCTTTCCGATATCCGAGATATGGGCACTTGCACACTCTCTTTGGTACCCTGGATATAAGGCATTTCACAGACGGATAGGAGTTCTGCAGCGACCCCAGCTGTCCCCTCCAAGCGAATTTACAAAGCAAGAGATTCCCTTGCTTTGTAAACGCCGTTACAAGAAATTTTCGTTCCAGAGCATCAGTTTCTTACTCTCGTTCAGACTTCGATGTTTGCGGATTGTAATTTCGCGTCTCCTCATCATGGCACCAAATGTGGCAGATTTGTTGGGACATCAAGACTTGGGAATCCAGATCAGCGGCTGGACCCAGTGCAGGATTAGCATAGTATTTTGTGCCAGAGAGGGAGGGGCTTCTGGCATATTCCGATTTCCATCTTGAGGCACATCCGTTGATGAGCAACATCAGTTTTGGGGATTTGAGCTTCACCAAGACTCGCATCATTTCACAACACACCTTGACACCATGTGGTGTCATAATGCATTATGGGCCCAGCATGCCAGGTTATGGGACGTATTCTTCGGGGTCCGTACTCGCTTTGTGGCACGATTCTTGTGCAGGGACAAGCGATTGCACACAATATTTTTCATATCGTATTTCAATAATCAATGGGATACGTCTTACCTATTTTGACCATTTTCATCGCAGATCCAGTGGAGCCAACTCGAGGGGGCCTGGTGAAATGGACCATGACGCCAATTTGATTCTTTCGCCAACGTTTTTTTTTCCTCCTGTTTCCACCCCTGTTAGGATTCTCATGCGCAAAAAGGAACCCCCCTTTGGAATTTTGCTTGTGGAGAAAATTGACGGGATATTGGAATATTTGGTGACACTTGCAACTCTTGGCTGCTTGAAGTCATCTTCCAGTCTGGATTTCAACAATTTTCAGCTGGTCATCGGTCGTGGTATCGATGCCTCACTGCTGATTTTGGCCAATTCTGGCCTGATTTCAATTCGTGGCTACAGCGGTTCAGCTGCAATTATGTAAACGGTCTGCACACAACTGTACATTGCGAACAGTTTCTCAAGCCTCTCCCCGAGGATGCAGACATGTGTCATGGCCCATGGTACAGACACATCAAGCCACTGACGTGCCAAAACTGACACTATTGCGACATGAAGGGCTCTCCTGACACTGCAGCGATTTTCATTAAGGACGTCCTTCCTAGACGTGCATTGCACAAATTGGACATCTCAAGTTATTCCTGAATTTTCAAACCGCCTACATCCACAGTGTCAATCTGGTCCTAAAGATGGGACATAAGTTTTCTTTCCTTCAGGGAAAAAGTCATGCTTTCGTTGTGTAAAATTGCTGCAGATCGTGCCCGATGTCAAACACTCATCCTGTGTTAAATGGGACCAAGATATGAATGTAGGCAGCCTTGCAAACAGGGGCATGCCATCTGCACAGAACTGCAGTGCATCGCTGCACACGAGACGTGCACACTGTTCACAGTGCTCCAGATTGAAACAAATCTGTTTCAGCTCTCCACCGCTTTTTGTGCATGCAGAGACTGGCCAGCTATCCTGAGCAGCTCCATGAACCCCAATATGCTCATCTTGGTCTTGCAGGTGCAAGGAGTGCGTTTACTCAAATTTTCAAGATGTGATCCAAGGGCATAGTTCTATAGGTGTCAGGGCTTGGCCAGGTCTGCACGTTGCTCAGACATCAGCTTTCCAACAGCCTGTTTCCTATGCAAAGAATGGCACAGGATCGAAGTCCAATCGTTGGACGCGCAGTTGGTGCAGGGTTGCGTCTCTCATGTTAGTGGGCAGCCAGTGTTGTCCACACTTGAACTCTGGCCGATCCGGCGGTGCAATCGAAAACGTCAGAATGGTGCACTCCATGCACTGCATTGGCATTGCATGCGATGCCACATTCTGCTTGCAACACCCTTGTGAAATTCACCACCATTTTATCTGCACTCTGATCGGCAAGCTACAGCATCAATATTGCAAGCTTTCAGCAAAGGTGTTGCAGGCATAGACAAAGTATCTGTGAACACAGCGCCAGCAAAATGCACAACAGAGCCCAGCAGCTCTGTATACCAATTTCATGATTCAGCAGCTGCCTTGTGGTCTTGTGGCCAATAGACACACGAAACTGATACCAGTGCCCTGTAACTCAGTCTTGAACTCAATCAATCCTGGTCACTAAGGCATTACCCTCCAAACCATTAATTGTCACGCTAGGAGCCAGCCATGCGCACAGAATCCCAATTCTTTGGTGATGTCATGCCGGGCACCACTTCTGTGGCTCCCAGTTCCCATCTGCTGTTCCTGTCTATTTTCCCAAACCGCGATATAAGATCACAGGCTGCCAATAGCTTGGCAATAATGGTTGTACAGTATGTGGCACCATCTGCTTCCCTTGCATACTGGCTGTGACTTCTCAGAGAGAGGGCTCCCAACTCTTGGCCATCTCTTCAGCCCTCTGTTCACTTGCCTTCCCAATCGAAAAATAAGCTGATATCTGCCATCCACCAGACTCAGCCTCAATTTCAGAGCAGTGAGCCGAACTGCATCACTGCCAGTTTCGGGGCGGCTCAGGGCTGTGTGCACTGTGCGAAGTGTCCCACACTCATGCCTGCTGCCCACCCCTCTGGCACACCAATTGACCCAGCAGCAGAAGCACAATCCCTTTCCTTGCAAAAAAAACCTTCAAAATCGCCTTCACCGTCGATGGCGCGCCCGGAACCCACATGTGCCCCTGCAGACAGCCAGCTAGCATCAATCCGCCATCCTGCCGATGGCATGCTCGGGAAACCACCCAAGCACCAGATGAAGAACACCACGCGGTCCCCGTCAAGTCGGCCTGAATGGGGATGGCACGCTGGGGATCCCCCCGAACACCCAGATGAAGAACGCCAGGGAGCTCGTCGTGAACACCGCCAGGCAGGCCATCAGCACGCCGAACGCCTGCGGCTTGCTGAGCCCCAGCCGACGCTGCACCAGGCCCATCAGCCGGTCCACGAACGGCGTGAGCGCCACGGCCACCGTGAAGCGCAGCGGCCTCAGCAGGTTCTGCAGTGCGAACAGCCCGGCGTACACGCCCAGGAAGCCCGCCCACTGGCCGGGGGCAAAGGGCGTCAGGCCGGTGCGCTTGACGTGCGTAATCCAGGCCACCACCACGCACGCGCCGTACGTCGTGTTGCTCACGAAGCCATAGGACAGCACCGCGCCGATGCCCAGCGCCTTGATGCGCTCCTTGTCCAGCTTGCCGCCCAGCACGAAGTTCTTCAACCTGCCCCACAGGCCGGGGGCCGGCTGATCCGAATCCGGGGCCTCCGCCGGGTCCTGGGCGTCTCTGGGGACGTCCGCAGCTCTCCGAATGCCGGCATCTCTGGGAAATGAGGAGCGGCCGCCGATCGGCGCCCGCGTTTGGCCGGGCAGGCGCCTGGGCAGTGGGGCCCGCGCCGCCGTCGTTCGGAGGCCCATTTGCGGCCGCGCCAGCAGGCATTCAGGCAGATGGGTTGCCATGCCGCGCCGCTGGGCGCTGAAAGCCGGTCGCTTGAACGAGCAGCTCATGGGGACCGGCGCGCCTCCCGTGCGCGGCGACTGCGACTGTGCGGAAGAAGAGCAGCGAAGGTAAGCGTCGGGATTGCGGATTGGGCAAGCGTGAGGCCACGCGGAGTCGTGGGACGGGGAACCGGGAATGAGGGAGTTATTCTAAGGCGTCATGCCCACCGAGCGCCTTGCTCGCGCAAAACTGGTGGACTCCCTTCACCGGGACTCACGGTTGGCGCGCTTCCCTCGCCGCGACGCCCTGTGGTCCATCCCGAACAAGGAAAGGGCGAAATGTGGGTGGGTGGGTTTGGGAGCCTCGAGGGGACAGACTTACAGCGAGCAGTGGCAGCGCCGAGCCCTGCGGGATGCTCGTCGTCTGGCGCGCTTCTCCTCGCCGCGCCTTTCCCCCGCCAAACTCACGTGGGCGACCGGACCTGGGTGACTGAGGGCATTTGGGCTGTGTTGTGCTCAACCTGGACTCTTTGTGTGTCCGAATCGCCGCTTTTTGTCCGAATTGGGATTCAAATGGCCGGCTCGATAGGCCGAAGGACCAGAATTCGGACAATTTGTCCGACAGAAAACACTGAAACATGCCCCAATTCGGACAATGTCCGGCAAGAAAACTGCAAATTGGCGTCAATTCGGACATGCGACAATCGACGACTTTGCCTTTCGACTTTAGTTCCACACAGTTCTGAGTGGCCCAACCCCATGGTGGGGGCCAATCGCCACAAGTTTGTAAAGCTCAGTCAATGTCTTGCTGATGGCAGTGCGCCTGTTCGCGCAGTAAAAGATGACAGCCTTAAGTATGGCTACAAAGTGGGTGGCGCCCAAAGGGAATTACCAGTCCAGCAACAAACGGTTCCCAGGAGAGCTACCTGCCGATGGCTACATGCAAGGCATTGGTAGGTCGGAGATAAGCCGGATATTGGACTCTTGTCATTTCCTCAAGTGATAAGGGGTGGTGGTTTTGACAACAGTTGACGCCTTGAACGAGCTTGCACACAGGATTGCTCTGTTTCGTGAGCCAGAAAAGGACACACCTGACTTTACGTTGATCCATGCGGAATGCAAGGGCTTGGTGTTCATCAACTGGCGCCAAGCAACCGACATGCTCAGCCAGAAAGCGCTGCAGCCATCCCATACCGCCGCTGGATTGATGCCCATCCTCGCCCAGACCAGCAGCAGAAACTAAAGGCGCCCCCAACACAGGTCGCCCAATGGTCCGCTACTGTGTGACGGATAATGGTGTGTTCACACACCAACAAACGTCGTTGAGGTCGCATCCCACGACGTGGCACACATGCCTAGGATCACAGTCCCCAAAGCGAATAATGGCCAGTTAGCCAGGACAACCCAATGCATTATTCAACCGCAAAAATCAGCATCGATCGCTCCATTCGCAGATATAAAATTACGACTCAAATAGCACCCCTGCTCTAATTTGCCAACTACCACTGGTCTGAGGGCATCTTTCCAGCACTGTGTCCAGGACAGCGCTTGGCTAACCCTAAAACCAAACATCATGCGCTGAAGCTCCAGAAGCACTGCATCCTGCACGCGATTTTGAGGCTTCAAGAGCCCCCGATCCCAGCACAACCTAAACCCCCAAAACAAGTCCGCGTGTCAGAGCCCCGTTTCACTGTATGCTCCTCTGCCCAACTGCTGTCCGCCAGGCCCAAATCGGCGAAAAATTGCGACGGCCTATGGGATGATTTGCTGACTTCGCCTACAGTCCCCATGGCAACGGAACCTCGCTAGAATACAATGTCGGGGTCCTCCACAGCAAGGAGACTGGGCACCTTTGCGTTGCCACCTGCGGACATTGCCTCAGCCTGCACAGCAACACCCCGCACTAAATAGTGCTCCTTTACAATTTCACCTTCTGATGCAGAATTTTCTGCACACTCTGAACCAGACAAACCACATTCTCAGCTTAACAAGGTGCAATTCCTGCATGTGCACACTGGCCCTCTAAGAGTCAATGTGCATACCATGAACACGACTGGGCAAAACCGATATTATGCAATATGGGCAACGGGCTCCTGGACAACATATTGTGGGACCCAGTTCCAAAACACAAGAAGCAAAACAAACCACAAGAAATAGTCCTGGAGTCTCTCGAGTGTGACAAAAAAAACATGTGACAATGTTAAGCTGTAACAGTAAGAAATTGTGTGCTCAGGATGCCCACATGCATAATGCAGATCATAATGCAGACAATGCAAAATCGCTGCAATGATTGGGCACCAACGTTTGCTCACAAAAGAAAAGAAGAAAGCTAAAAGTTTCTCAAATAAACCTCAGCTCCCCAGAATCCTTGCTGTTTGTGCCCATGAGGCTGACAAAGTACCACATGCATAGGCACGTCATTTCCCACGGGAGAAACGCCATGCACACCTTTTGCTTCTCGATCTTCTCTAGATCTCTCTGCTTCTTGCCTTGAATCTTCTTCAGCCTGAAGAACTCCTCGCGCTCGAGCTCGTCAAGCTCACCCTGCATTCATGTTCTCAACAAGCACAACTTCAGTTAAACAGGGCTTACCGTATCTAGCAATCCTTCCAGAGGTTTATGTAAGAGGGTATTGAGGAGCTGTTGTGAGAACTAACAGCACAACAGCATGTCTCATTGCAGCAGGCTGGTTGTCTGCGATGTGCAGCAAATTTGAAGTTCCCATCCATGAACAGAAGATATTCTGCCACCGTGTCATAAGTATGGTAAAGCAAGCAGCTGATGGCAGCCTGGTCCTAGCTATCCAAGTGCCAATTATACATGATGTTGAACCATTCATTTACTGTCTTCAAGGTGACCGCAATCAGTTCTGATGCATGTGCAACCACCTTTCCATTTCCTGAGCCTCACAAGACAAAATACATTGATTCTACCTTACTCCTGATGTATTTGAATGCATTTATAAAACAAACCGTTCCGGGTACACATGCCAAGCTAAGAACTTGGCAACTGAAATTGTCATTAGTCTTCAAACTGTTCCGATTGCCTGCTTATTGAATCACTGCCTATGAACATCACAAATTCTGGAAGCGACAGCAGGGCACTGCTCACCAACCTTAATGTATGCAATGGTGTTCTCAAGCCGTGGCTTCACAACATTCTCCAATGCATTGACCCTGCGGTTTGTAACTTTCAGGGCTTCATCTAGCGTAATGAACGCTGTTTGCAAATTGGCCAATTCAACAAGGAGCTCCACAGCCCCTGTGAATGATTTCCTGCAGTTCTGGATCTTCTGGCCACCAGAGCCCAAACCTGCAAGCATGCCAAGCATTGCCTTTGAAGCATGAGCTCTTTGCGAACAGACAGCAAGCGCTACCTTTGCACCTTGAACACAATTAAAGACATGATTTCAAGTACACACAAGAAAATCAAGTCCAGGTGCCCACAACTCGATCTAGCATTTCACGATTTCCACTCAAGAAGGTTGTCTGCTGTGCCATATGCTTTCATTTCTGTCACCCACTGCAAATCCCGGGACACTGCAACAAAGCAAACATTATAATCGCTCCCCAATGTCTGTGTTACTTCTGGACGAGACAGCACACACACAACCATCAAAGGCAACTATTCAAAGCTAATGACTGGAGCGTACAGGTGGCTGAGTGCCCTTGACCATTTGTCTTCCACCCCTGTTAACGTTGTCCATTCTGTATTCCATCCTGTGCTCCTCCATCCTACATGTACAAAAGGGCTGGTGGATGGGAGCAAGGACAGTTGCAACTGCCATTGGCCGCTGTGACACAAGGACACATATCACATTGCTATGATAGAATGCCACCGTTCAAACAGCACTGCAGGCTAATGGGAATCCACCTGGCACTGTGCGCTGAAAGCTACAAGCCAATCTGTTGCCTTAGCAGTTGGCGCGCTGTACACCCCAGACCAAAACTACTGCTCTTCCTGAGTTGCTGAGGGTTTTCAGCTTGGAGCTCACACTCTATTTGAAGGTTGCAAACACTCACCGAAAACAAAACTCCCAGTACAAAGACTTGACCACTGGCTGTCTAGGTGAACACTCCCTGCAATCTGATGAACAAGAACCAACAATGACCAGATTCCCTGGACCCAACCCACCCTCATTGGTTCCTCACCTGTCAAATCCATCTTCAAGTCAGTCCCCGTGCCAACCTTGACGTGCTCGAACTTTGGGATCTTGACACCCGCCACGTTGTCCTGCTGCGCGTACACCTTGATGGAGGCCTGTTCCATTTTGATAGAGGCCGTTCTCAACATGGTGCCAAGGAGTTCCAAACTCGCCACTCCGCATTTGGCCCACACCAGCAGCAGTAGCCCATGGCAAACAATGGAACATATACACAAGACCCAACACTGTTTGTCAAAGAAATGTCCCCAAGGAGGGGAGGTGGTGCAAATCCTTCGACTGCGCTTTTGGAGCGGTGCAGACACAGCCCGCGCAGGAAGTTGAAACATTGAAGTTGGACACACCCCAGCTTTTCATGAAACCATTCTCCATGAAGCTCAAATCCAAGCAAAATGGTGTCCGCACAATTCCCCCACGCCCGCTCCAAAGCACTTCCCCCTTGATCCCCTCGCACACCCAAGCTTCGCGTTCCATCGAGTCTCGGCGAATCCATCGAATGGACTCCCTCCCACCTGCTCCACGTTGTCGAAGACGGTGTGCCGGATGCTGTCGCCCGCTGCGTAGCGCGCCTCTATCAGAGTGAAGAACGATTCCCGCATTGTCTGCCCCATTGCCTCCTTGGCCTCTATGATCTGTCGCAGGATCGCCCGGAAGCGCACCGTCAGCGCGTCCGCCTTCTTCTTCAGCAGCGCGTGGCCCTTGGTGGCGCCCTGCAGCCGGACTTTCATCACCGCCAGCACCGTCACTGTCGGCACCACGGGGTACCGGTTCTGCGTCGACATCCTCCCCCCTCACTCGGCGGCCCCCGCCGGCGAGCTGCTCGCGATCGGGGCCCTCCCTGCCTCTGCGATCCCTCACACAGAGCCCTTCACCTGCACGTGGTGAAACACCAAGGGCCTGTGGACCACAGGGGCGACGGAAACAGCGCTGAGAATGCGCTTGTGAAAGCCAGCGCTAGCACGGTGCGGGGGCACCGAGAGATGGGACGCGATCAGGGCGGAATTGCGCACCACGCGCTGCGGACTGCGCCCTTGGCGAACCCCGCTTCCGGCTGGGCCTGAGGGTCGCGCTTGCTGAGGGAGCCCTGCGAAGCTTCGGCTGCGCGTCTGGAGCGCCCGGTGGGCTTTGGGGCCAGGCGGTGGGGCCCTGGTGACCGCGACGTCCGCAACGCAGCACAGAGGCACCCTTTCAGCTGGGGGACACTGGGCATCATTGCGAGTGAATTGGGATGATGGAGGAGGAGCAGCCCCATCACAAATCGATGTATTCATCAGTGCAATCAACCAAAGGATGTGGCAATCACTCAATGAAGGAGAGCAACACAAAGGGAGCCCAAGCAGGCGGGGCTGTCAGGTTGCTTTTCGCCTGGAGAAAACGGACGCCTCAGGCGGTGATTTGAATGGGCTACGGGGCCAATCGGCCCACTCCTTCACGGGGGCCACTGCGCCTGAGGAATGGCAAGTCCCAACAGCCAGCGCCAGTGGCCTCAGACTCGTTTGAACTCTCAAGTCTGCGTTGCTTTAGCAGGATGTGATGTCCATCAAAACAGTAGTCGCATTCAAACGTATTGGCAAGTGAGCACTGCCGGTTACGACAGCGAAGATGGCAGTTGCTGCAGGCGGCATGGCGGTAAACGATCGGGAGGTCCTTTTGGGTTCCTGCAATGGCTGCATGTCCTGAACAAATCTTGCCTTGCCGTTTGCATATCTGGAACAGGACTGCCCATCTTCACTTTGGCTATGGAATTTTGGCTTCGATGAGAACGAAACTCGAAAAAATAGCTCCCTTTTTGCCAGGCATTATCCAACATTGGGACACATGCCATCGTGAAACCAAGGAATTCACTGTGTCTTCCGAAAGCAAATAAATTGAGCCACGCGCCACCGTGACAGAGTTCCTCACAGCTTTGTGGCCAACGGTTCCTGCTACCGTGGTTGTCGGTATGCAAAAGGTGGCCGTCTGACATGGCAGCCACCCGAGCGAAAATCCACAAAGCGCCAAGCCTTCGCCTGTCCCGCCTTCTCGCTCGATAGGATTTGCATCGAAGGAGACGAATCTGGGGACGTACAGCTCCCCTGTGAACACTTCGCCATCGATTCCGCCATGGAAAATCCGAATCAAACGGGCCTCCGGGCCTTGCACGTCCGGGCTCACGCAGAAATCCGGGCCTTGGGTGAGAAACACGCAGAAGACCTCTCCGATTCTCACAGAATCGCCTGGAAATCCATGCACCGAACGGCGAGATTGCAATGGGAGCGCTCTGCCGAAATTCGAGCGCAGGAGACCTCAAACTCTTGGCTGTGAAGCCGATTTGGTCAGGCTGCGCCCCACGGCCTGTGTGCATGGGTCGCACACATAGAAACTGTCAACTGAGTGCTTACAACTTCACGGACTATGGTCCGTCCCGTTCAGCCCCTCTGACACTGGGCACAGCAGCATGCGGCCTGCGACCCGCACACAGCACGGCAACCACTCCTCAAATACCCTAGCCACGTCAGAATGGGCAGTACAACCCAATCTTATACAATTTCCATCAGGTCACGTCCGAACATGGCAGTTCACACCATTCTCACTCTCCTTGCACCTCATACTCCACTATTCGTATCACATCTGAGCGTGCTTCCGCAAATCTCACAACATGCTCCTCTAATCCTCACATAACCCCTTGTGACGCTCAGGTGGACATTACTTCACTCCTTCGTCACCTTTCCAGCACACGCGCAGCATCACAATCGAATCTGTTTCGTGACCTGAAAGATTCGCAGGAATATTCATTCACATCTACGGCTCCGCCTGCCCTTTTCCCGCACTACAATGTACCGCTCACAAATAAAACTGTGACGTCACAGCCACGCCACAAATCAGCTCAGTGATATTTCTTGATCGAATTAAAAGTCTGATACACTCACCCAGCGCATCAGCAACAAAAAAACATAATTTTCATGACCAAATTCATAATCAGATCCCTGATGTTTGCATGCGTGGCAGGTCGCATCCCTATTAGCAGGCTTGGTTTTTGCGCTGTAAAACTGACCTTATTTACATTTTTACGCGTAAAAATAGTTTTTACGTTTTTCGGCGTAAAAATGCGTAAAATACGTAAATACGACGCAAAAACTGCCCGGTGTACATAAGGACAGTACATACAAATTTACGGAGTCCGGACAGTGGCAGCCAGACGCTCTGGAAGGGGCAGAAAACGAGTTTTTGTTAAACGCCATCATCGCCCTTGCCAAGGGCGAGATGGGCATAGTGTTGCGGGTGCTGGCGATGGCGGAGGACTGATCATTGTACGCAACTTTCATCGTGTAACCTGGGTGTCCCAGGGAGCCGTAAAAATAAGCCCTTTTGCAAATTTACGTTTTTACTCGTAAAAACGTAAAAATAAAAACGTAAACGTAAACGTAAAAACCAAGCCTGCCTATTAGGCTGTCAGACCCAAAAGAACCACGTAAAACACGTCTGCCTAAGTCAGAACAATTGAAAAGCGATGACATCACACTTCGCCCTAGGTTGCCCTGAATCTATTGTGCGTTGATCAGCATCAGGCTTGATTTTTGTGCCGTAAAAACTGATCGTATTTGCGTTTTACACGGAAAACTATTCTTTACGCTTTTACGCGTAAAAATGCGTAAAAATACGTTAGTACAATCTAAAAACTGCCTGGTGCACATAAGGACAGTATATACAGACTTACGGAGTCCGTAGAGTGGCAACCAGACGCCCTGGAAGGGGCAGAAAACGAGTTTTTGTTAAACGCCATCATCGCCCTTGCCAAGGGCGATGTGAACATTGTATTGCGGGTGCTGGAGATGGCAGTGGACTGATCATTGTACACAACTTTCATCGTGTAATCTGGGTGCCCCAGGGAGCCGTAAAAACGCAAAAATAGCCGTAAGAATAGGCCCTTTTGCAAAATTTACGTTTTTGCGCGTAGAACCATAACAGTAAAAACGTAAACGTAAACGTGGAAACCAAGACTGGTCACCATGAAACTCCACGTCAGATTTGACGTTTTGGCGCACAACAGTCAGTGAGAAATCAAAATTATTTCCAACAAGCATCTTGAGAATTCCTCAGTCAATTATAGTAGGACTTCAAGTCTCCGATTCGCCAATGTATTCAGCATAGTCTTGCAGCAATTTCAACAAATTTCCAGTTGCACAATGATATTAATCACAGAGATTGAACATCAACTTGTGTGAAACTTAGCAGCACAGACATCAAATTGCGTAGATTGCCTTGCAGATGCCCTAGATTGTTGTAGCGCGCATCACCACCTCTCTTGGGTCAGTTGCAGTTGATCACCTTCCTGATGGAAAGCTTGGCCGACATTGGTAAAGTCTTCCCCTCTGGGAAGGCTTTTGAGACGCACAATCTCAGCCCTGCAGCGTCTCACTGGATGCCCACGTTCGCTGCCTGTCTGCCACTGTGAGTAATCCAGTAGCGGTACATAATTTGGCCCCCCAAAGCCCGTCACCTGTCCCGTGAGACCGCTGCTGTATTGCACCACCACCAGCACTGGCGCCTCTCGCCGTTTGCGCATTCCGCAAGCTGCAATCCCGCGCAGCGTTCGAGGCCTCCACCCGGCCAGTGCATCCATCGGCAAAGATTCGCCACGAGTTGCAGCCATTGCCGGTATATTCGTGAGCCAAGCATGCACGTCCAATGGGGTGGCGCCCGGAGCCCAGTGCGTCGCGTCATTTATTGGGATGTAGGACCTCCGTGGCATCGGTATCGTGTCCCGTATCTTGATAGAATTGGGTGCCCATCGAGATACCCATACCACTTGCCGCATTGCTATCTCCATATTTTCCTTTCATGCTGGAGTTCGTCCCTTTGTAGGAGACTAAGCCCTTTTCTCACTTTTGTGGATTTTCGCTAATTCCTAGCCACCTTTTGAGGCTCATGGGTCGCCAGCTTGCCATAAATTTCACATCATATATTGGCGACCCGAACAGGCGGCATTACCAACAATCTGGCAGCGTGAAGGTCTCTGCCAATTCGTCGAGACACCAAGAGGGATGCAGGCTTCGCAATGTCGCAAATGAGCTGTGAAAGCAACTCCACAATCTAAAGAATTTACACGAGGCCAAAAAAACGAGAGAGGAACATGCAGCTGCCGCCTCATGCAGCAGGAGGTCGTTGGGACCACGCACCACCACACGTCCAAACGCTCCGTACCAAATTCGCCTCCCCGTGTGCCGCACCAAAAAATGTTTGTCCAAGTCAAATACAATCCCCCTCCCCCCCGCTTCCCTCAATCGCCCCCCTTGCTGACCTTCAGAATCGCCATGAAAGCGTCTTGCGGCACCTGCACCTTGCCCATCGTCTTCATCCTCTTCTTGCCCGCGGCCTGTTTCTTCAGCAGCTTCTTCTTCCGCGATATGTCTCCGCCGTAGCACTTGGCCAGCACGTCCTTGCGCAGCGCCGAGATGGCCTGGGAGGAGATGATCCGCGACCCGATGGCCGCTTGTATGGGGATGCGGAACTGCTGGCGAGGTATGACTTCCTTCAACTTGGTGACGAGGGCCTGGCCCACCTCGTACGCAGAGTCTTTGTGGACGATCGTCGCCAGGGGCTCCACCACTTCCTGATTGATCTTGATCTCAAGCTTGACCAGGTCCCCCACCCTGCACATAAGCATGCATAGCTCAGATCAGGAAGGGAAAATATCTGGTGATCTGACAATCAACTGAGCCGCAAGGCAATTGTTAATGCTGTAGCCCCTTGCTGAAACTGTAGTCTGTGTTGTGATAATGTTTGGGGACACTAGCCACCAAAGAACGTACAGTCTTGGCAAAACGAACTACAGTACACATTGAATGCCAATTCACAGCCTGATCCACCATGACCATCCACTACACGCTGCAAAACTAACAGGAAGGATGTTCGCTTTGAACTGTTCATCGGCTTGAAAAACTGTTGGGGACAATTTTCAGATTGGATGAATTCAGTCATAGGATTTGTATGTACACTCAGACTCCTCCCTCGAGAACCACCTGTGAAATTTCTGACGTTTGGTCTGTTGTGCAAGCAGCGTAGTAAGTGATGTGCTCAGATTGGTGATGTGACTTGCAATTACAGAGCGCTCAGTAAGCTGGTGAAACATGTTCCTTACATTGTGACACCAGTTCGATGACGGGTACGTTTGCATCAAACCTGTTGTTCCCCAGTTCATGGCTGTGAAATGGCCAAAGCATAGCGGCATCGTCAGCGCAGTGCACACAACACTGAAGATGGTCCATCAACTGTTACTTGAGTGGTAGCAGCACTGTATGAACAACCACCAAAAATTCGAGGCCACAGCTTCCAAGAAGCAGGGTGAATTGCTTTCAATGGCGAAGCCACTGCCGCTGCCATGCTCATTCCCACTGTCAATGTCATTGGCTCACTTCCTCATGAATCCCAATCTCCAAAATGTCCTGAACAAGAGAAAACAAGCTCGTATCCAACTGTCAGCATCAGCTGCGTGGGCTCCTGACAGAATAGTGCCACATGACATGATGCCCTCAAGTGCTACCATAGTTCACACTCGAATGCAATGCTTTCCACTTGCCTGTAGTCCAGCAAGGAGTACTCCATAGATGCATAGCCCCTGGTTCGAGACTTTAGCTGATCAAAGAAATCTGTGATGACCTCTGCCAAGGGAAGAATGTACACCAGGGTCACCCTGTCTTCGGTCAAGTACTGCATCTTCTGGTACTCCCCACGCCTATCACTCGCCAGCTCCATCACTGGCCCCACAAAATCCTTGGGCACGATCATCTCCATCCTGCAGAATGGCTCAAGGATGGCCTCGCGAGCAACAGGCTCGGGCAGCTCGGCAGGGTTTGACACGATTCGCTCCTCACCACCCGCTACACGGCATCGATACACCACAGAGGGTGCTGTGATGATAAGGTCGATGCCATACTCACGCTCCAGGCGCTCCTGCAAGGAGACAACCACACCCATTCATTGACAAGATGCTCGATTGCGTTCGAATTCTTGCGCTGGCCCTCATGAGGACGAACCAAAGCCCTTGCACCTAATATGGCTATGGTACGAACAGAGTATCACCAATAACCACACTACTGCATTTTTATGGTGGCAATATTACGGTTATTGCTTTTGTCTTGTTGTTGGTTTTACAGCTTGATGACAGTTCGCCAAGTGAAAGGGCGTTGAGCAGCCACTGTCCAGCGACCTACCTGTACAATTTCCATGTGGAGCAGTCCCAAGAACCCGCATCTGAATCCAAAACCCATGGCTGATGAGTTCTCTGGCTCATAGCTGAGGGCTGCATCATTCAGCTGCAGCTTGCCCAGGGCTGTCCTCATTGCCTGGTACTGGTCAGAATCGGTTGGAAACAGCCCTGCACATGCACATGACTTTTTGAAGTCCTTGAATAGCATTCAGAGCATGAAAATGGACAACACAAATGCACCAAATTCAGATCATCATCAGTGTTCAAGGCAGAGCAGTGCCACCGCAATCACAAGCCATGCACTTGGGTCTGCTCAAGCTCTTTTGACCAGGGCTGCATCGGCAGTGTTTACCAGCACTGGAACAAGGATTGAGCAGTGCAAATTTCCCTTTGTGAATCCTACAAAGATGGCATTCACAGGGCTGGCCCTCTGAGGAAATGAAATTGGATTTGTAGCGCTCCTCCATTTCTGCACAACATGTAGAATCGGCATGAAATGCTTGCTGGGCAATAGCGTGTGACGGTTTTTGTCGACAGTGTGGTTGGTGCACAAGATCAAACAACCCACCGCAATACACCATTGGCTGAGGTTCCTTATACCCAGGAAGTGCCTCATCTGCACGAGTTTTGGTCAGAGTTATTGTATCGCCCACCCTAGCATCCGCCACTTGCTTTATGGAGGCTGCCAAGTAGCCCACCTCACCAGCATACAGTGAGTCCACCTAAAACAGAAAGAAGAGCACACAGTGATCCAGTAGCCACACTGAGCAATTGGATGAAACCCAACAATGCACATGCCACTTTCACCAATGTTGCAAAAGAGAGCGGATGGGTGGGGTAGTGGGGGGCCAATCGTTCTTGCATTCTGGGAGCACATTCCTACATGACTGGGGTCTCTTTTCTCATCTTCAGTATTTGTTTGTGCATTTGTTCTTGTCTCTTTTGCATCACTCACTTCATGCTATTTTACTTTTGCCATTTTGCATTCTTTCTGCTTCTTTCAATCTTCACTAGAGTTGCAGGTGGACACATTTGGCTGCAATGTTTAGGGGCTAACGTTCCAGTTGCTGACATTGCAGAGATTTGATTCCAGAGAATGGAGGCAACAATGCACAAAATGCACAGATCTGGGCCTCCGTGGATTCAAAAGTAGAACACCACATTCAAGAGTATTCTAATTTGTGTTTGCATTCCATGTAGTCAGCAGCAGCAGCAGCAGCAGCAGCAGCAGCAGCAGCAGCAGCAGCAGCAGCAGCAGCAGCAGCAGCAGCAGCAGCAGCAGCAGCAGCAGCAGCAGCACACTCCAGAATAGGATGAAAAGTAACAAGGCCACTCTAAGTTGCCAAGGCCAGCTGCATATGCTCAACCAGAATCAAACAAAGACAAGATTCTTGTCTGTCCGCACCTTAACCTGATTTGGTGCTAGGACCCCAATCTCATCAATTTGGTACTGCCTGCCAGTGTTCATCAACTGAATGGAGTCCTTTGGCTTGATTTCACCATCGACAACACGGAATTGGCAAACCACGCCTCTGTAATCATCGTAGTAGCTGTCATAGATAAGAGCACGGAGCCGCTCTGATACTCTGTTCTGCACAATAGGCCCACATTTTTAGCCCCACACTATGCACGCTTTGACATTGTTTGTACTGCAGGGGTGCATGACATGTGCAATGAAAAGGACAGCAATAAAGGCATAGATGCCTTTAACACCTGTGCATTTGTAACAATTGGAAGAACTGTGATTGGAACACGCCTGATCGCCCAATGCGAAGTGTCTACAGCACACCTTGAATCATGAACCCTTGAAAACATGTTGAAAACAACATGGAACAATGCACGCCTGTGTTGCACTTAGCTTGGCTGTCTGTCAGAAATCTGGCACAACACTGTGCACGCCTGTGTTGCACTTAGCTTGGCTGTCTGTCAGAAATCTGGCACAACACTGTGCAAAGTGCTGGCACAGTGGAAACATCATTAATGTCATTCTCCAGCTCCGTCATGTTCATGCCTTCAAGAATGAAGTTGCATGCCAATATCCAATCGAAAGAGGACCCCAGTCCAAAAAGTTGCATCATTGTTGTGGCAGTGTTGCTGCACCAGACAGTACAGCTGCGCAAAGAAGGAAACAATGCCAAGCCGCCTGTCAGCATGTTGCACAACCTGCTCCTGATATCCTCAATTCCTTGGAACACATTTAGTCAGCAGCATATTGACAACCAAACCCTGGCAACTTGGAGACGATGTTGGGCAGCTCTTCAATTACACAAGATTTGATCCAGACAGTCCACTTTGGCACGTTGCCTTTGATGTGGATCGTATGCCACAAAACAGCAGGGATCTGAGAACTGAACGCTGGCAGAGCTCTGCGTTTCAGCCTCTTGTTCACTGACCTTTGGAGCTGGAAGCCGTTTTACAATGGCCTCAAGAAGTGCTTCAATCCCGATCCCAGCTTTGGCTGACACAAGCAAAGCATCTGAAGCATCCAAACCTATGACATCTTCTATCTCTTTCATCACTCTCTCCGGATCGGCGCCTGTGTGACATGACTTTAGTCAATGGTGTTGCCAGCTGGGTGCCATTGGTATCACCCAGACATAATTTCGTTCCAGCAAGCCTCAACCACTTCTCACATTTTCTGAGCGACTTCTTGCCAGACTGCCCAAGGATGCATCATTTGGCACTAAGCGATACCTGGTAAGTCAATCTTGTTGAGGACCGGAATGATCTCCAGGTCATTTTCCAGAGCTAAATACACGTTGGCCAGGGTCTGAGCCTCCACACCCTGTGCGGCGTCCACCACCAGGAGAGCACCTTCACAAGCAGCCAAGGACCTTGACACCTCATAGCTGAAATCCTGCAGATTGAAGGCAACCACAAGCCCTGAGATTTGGTCATGGGTCAAAATTGGAAACTTAATTCTGCGGACTACGTTTCACCAGCAACATTCTGTTACTTATGAAAAATTCAAGCCATTGCACCTTGAAGGCGGTGACGTGCAAAAAACGTAAAACACACGTTCATCCTGTATGTTTGTACTCTTTGCTTTTACCGTCTTGGAACGTGCCGATGCACTGCATTTTGCCTGTCATTTTCAATCCTCGCAGGCAATAAAATTCTTGTTTGCTGATATCCTACATTGTCTTTTGTGATTTGCAATGCAGATGGCAATACTATCCATTCATAAAGTCCTAGAGGCAGGTGGCAGTCCAAATGGGTGGACAAGCATTCCTCACTCCTTTCTCTCCTAAACTTGGTGACCCGAGGTAAAACATAACATTTCCCCACAATGGATTAAGTACAGAGCCTAAGACCTGAGTTCTGCACTGTGCACAAGAACACAGTTTGAGACTCAACTGATCTGGAAGTGCCTTTGCACAACATACCCACTTCTGTCCACAGCACTCACTGCATGGACATTGCCCATTTTGCAGTTCAGCACACCTGCAGCACAATGGCCTGCATACACGTATGGGTGGATGACTTTTGGCAAAAGCACCAGGGAAACTACAGCTCTGGGCAGGACTATGCTGGCAATTGGACTCACAATGTAATCTGTGCTCAGGGAATTATTTTATGGCTGCTTGGTGCATTCGTCCTGACAAAGGTGGTGTGCACCCAACTGGCATGAATGGGCAATGCCAAACATTCACCTTTACTCACCACATGTCCTGGAGTGTCAATGAGGTTGAGTGCATACACTTTGCCATCTTCCGCTTTGTACTTCATTCTGCACACAATATTTCACACAACTCAAAAGCAAAAAGACACTTCCTGCAATAAACGAACACAGCCTGTACCAGTGAGATTCACCAGCAGTGTTTGCATACAAGTGCCTGATGACGAAAATCTGCAATGACTAGATTGTCGTGGCTACAATGCTGGCCAAAGCTACCTCGGCAACTGCTTTCAAGGTGATGATGGTGGTAGCAGCAGCATTAAATGTACCACAACTGTACAGAGCACAACACGAAGAGGGGTGCTTGAACACTCACCTGGCTGTGTTGAGCTTGATGGTGATTCCGCGCTCTCGCTCGATGTCATTGGTATCCAGGAATTGAGCCTAGAAAGCACAATTTCGAAATCTGATTTCTCTGTTGCGGTTTTCTTCAAATGAATTACAGGTGGATGAGCTACTAATTGTCAACGAGCCAAACACAATCCATGGACAGCATGCATCATATATTACCTGTTTAGCAGTGATACTGTTTTCTTGGCAATGGGGTGCCGCACCTGCATCTCTCTTGTGCTGACAGTTCCCGTCTTCAACAGGAGCTGGTCTGCCAGCGTTGACTTTCCATGGTCTATGTGGGCTATGATGGAAAAGTTGCGTATGCAATCGACTGGAACCTGAAAACAGGGAGGGAAAACGCCGCACATCAGAAAGCGTCTGAGCGCCATCGCGTCTCATTCAATGCAGCCACCTCCACAGCAGGCAGCACTGGATACTCAGGCAGACTAGCCCAAGACTTTCACTGCTCGATAGGGAGAATAAGCAATGGCGCATCCATAAAAGCTGATTTGACCTCACGTGTGCTGCGCTCACGCAGTGTCCATACCCCCCCACGCACTTGCCCCCCACACTTGTAATGCCATCATTTCACGACCCCATCAATGCCAGCAGCACACGACGCATTTCATGCAGCACACACCCCAATCAACGTCTCCACAATCGACATAAACATCACACGCAGCGCGAAACTATCGCGAGAAGGCACACGATCCCACTCCGGCGCGCCTCGCAGCTCGGCAACGCTTCCACCCCCGGCTGGATGGCCTGAGTGGCGACGTCGCAACGACGTCCGACGCCGATGCCCCATGCCCCTACCTTCACAACGGCCCCGTCTGCGTACTCCGTGCCCGGGCCACCGACCACATGCGTCGCCGCAAGGCCCCCGGCGCACAACAGGAGCCGCTGGGCGAACTCCCTGCGCAGGGATCGCGTCCGCCGCCTCGATATGCGCGCACGAGCGCCGACCACTGCGCGCCAGTCCGGGTCGCAGAACGGACGGCCGGACACGCCCGCCGTTCCCTCGAGGGGAGCCGCGCCGCAGGCGAACGCCATCGGTGCGGGTTGCGATGGTGCCCACCGCAGAATGGCGAATGTGGCATCTACCAACGTACCTCTGCTGTGTCGAACGGATGCAGTCCAGGCGGTCCTGATGCAGAGCCGTAAATGCACAGACCCAGCCAATTCCACAAGCTGATGGGCAATCCAATGCGGTCCCAATGCTCGGGAGACACCGCGGTCGCCTCCTTACCCGCAGGCGAAACGGGAAACGGCAAGGGAACAGGGATGGAGCCGCAATTAGAAGCAGACACGCACGAGTCAACGTTCAAATGGTGGGCCCATGATTTGTCGCCTTACACGGAAGGTTTTTCTTATATACAACGCTACTCCCAAATGCCGCATTCCCTTGGGAGTGGTTACTCCTGGAAGCAGTACGAAAGAACCTTCTATGTTCTAGCATACCAATCGCTGACAGCTAATCCGCACCACAATCCCTATATGAGCCCTCGACACGATACTCCCAACCCCCTGACGCACCGAGATGATAACTCCCAGATAGAAGTGATTGCTCCCGGATAGTCTGAAGTCGCCCCCCCATCCATTCGTTCCCAATTTGACAGGTCGCAACAGCTCCCAACCTGGCCTAGGTCACTCCCGGCACAGCAATGTAGTAGTCAGTTTATCATTCAGGCGTCCCAATGCACTAGCATAATTGTCCCAACTTAATGTTCCTCACCCTGCCTTGATGATCCGCGCCCGGCCTTAACGATCCGATCCCGGCCTTGACGAACCGATCCGCGGCCTTGACAAATCTATCCCCGACGTTGACGATCCATTCCCGGCCTTGACGATCCGATCCCCAGCTTTGACGATCAGCTCCCGGCCTTGATGATCCAATCCTGGGCCTTGGCGATTTACTCCCAGCCTTGACGATCCAATCCCTAGCCTTGGCGATTCACTCCCTGCCTTGACGATTCAATCCCCGGCTTTGACGCTCCACTCCAGGTCTTGACGATCCAATCCCCGGTTTTGACGATCCACTCCCGGGAGTGGGGTGGGAGTGATGGAAGTTGTCCTCTTTGGTGCCATCTCATGGTTTCGGAGCGTAGAGGGAGTCCTTCTAGAGTCAGGGGTTATTCCAACAGTTCAGAGGGTTCAAAAGGGGTGCAGTTTGGATAGCCGTCGACGATGGTCACTTGTTCATAGAGTCAATGGAACAAAGGAGTTAGTCATTCCATGATGATTCCCTGATCAAAATGTCCCACACCCTATGCACTAAGTCTTGGCAGCTTCAACACGTCATGTCCTAGCGGATTGTGCAAGTTACCAATAAAATAGGCGAAACGTTAGGGGTACTTAAAAATTCGCCACACAAACGCCCTGCCACCTGTAAACGAAGACAATTACATTCAGGGCATGATGAATTTTCGCTTTCTGTTCGAGTTTGGCATCAAATTAATTTGCATTTTCCTTTTTTTAAAACCGTTGCAGTTACATTTGCCAAAACCATGGCAAAGCAAGCCCTGTCACCAAGCTGGCGATGCCGGGCAATGTTCCCGGAAAACAACATGCAATCCAATCCGTGTTTGTGTTTGATTATTATCAAATGGCCCCCAAAACCGGTAGCAAAGTCATGAAAAGGAAAAGAGAAAGACGGGCTAGAAAACCTCAAGGGCAATGGCGTGGTTTTTGGTTCGATGTGGGCGAGGCTCCCGCCGCGGCGCCCAATCGGCCCGGATGGGCCTCCTCCGCCGGATGACTGGCGGGCTGTCCGGGGCGCTCGCTCCTTCGGGGTGCGCAGTGTGGGCCCAGGCCTGCGGATGGCCGGGCGCGGGGCGGCCGTGCGCGCAATGGGTGAGCGGCGCAGTGCGGCTCGCGGGTGCAGCCGCGGTGTGCGCGGAGTGGGCGAGAGAAACGGAGTTACAGTCTAATAGGAGGTCGCCCCTTTGAAGGGGTGGCCTCCGCCTGGATCACGTGACAATGCAGCGTACGGGCCCATACGATTGTATCTCATCCCCCAATACGGTTCTGGCGAGGGAGTCTAAAGTACTGGTAGTATATCTAACCATAACTCCTCTACCGCTAACCCAATGGAGGTGGTTCAAGAACCCATGAGCTCCTAATGGACTCTACTTTTATATGAGATATTCAACTGCATTGTTCATTGTACTTTAACCTCCCAGTAACCCAATTACTAGAGAAACATACTACCCCCTGTGCTTTACACCACAGTATTCCCCCCTGGGGGTAGTTTCGCCCTCGAAACCTCAGGCTAACCAGTGGACCTAATTATCCTCTACTGGTTTGTCTCTCTTTATCATCTTCTTCAATTCCTCTGGGTAGGTAAAGTTGTCCTCTAGAGTCCAAGAGGCGTCATCAATCCAATAGTTCTTTCAAAGGATCAAGTACTCCTTGTGCCTCCCGGTACTGGGATCGGCCCACCGCCAACGCAACAATTTATCGATGTCATACGGCTCGTCATCCTCGGGCTCCAACTCCTCTACCTGACCAGACGTCGTGGGTTGCATCCATGAACTGGTTCTGAAAGGATGCAGCAAGCTGACGTGTAAAACATTGTGAATCTTCCACGTTTTGGGGAGTTCAAGCTCATAGGCCACTTGTCCCACCAGACGGACAATAAAGAATGGCCCAACGAACCTTTTCTTCAGCTTGCAGATCGGTGCATTCTTCAAGTTCAAATGCTCTATCGAGAGCAGCACCTAATCCCCACTACTGAACCTTTGTTCCCTTCTCTTCTGGTCGGCCTGCATCTTCATACGATCTTGAGCCCTGTTCAAGAATTTGACAGCCGTTGAGAAATTCCTCTTCATCTGCTCGACAAACTGGTTAACTCCCTCAATCAGAGTGGAGTCACTGTCGTGGATGAGGACTGCCGGTGTACACGGTAGAGGTGGCCACCCGGATCCGTTAATAGCGGACAGAGGTTAATTTCCGTTAATTTTCCGTTAATTAACGGAAAATAACGAAAAAAGACAAAAATTAACCAAAAATTAGCGGATTTTTGGATTTTTTGGGGATTTTTGGGTTTTAGTCATACTTATAGTTTATGGAATTCGCTATTAGAGAGTATGTTTGTATTTTATTTCAACCTATGCATACTAGATTTTCAACTAGCCGCAGTTGTTGTGATTTTTTGGGGTTTTTTTTCGTTTTTTTTGGATTTTTTTCGTTTTTTCTGAAATTTCCTCCCTTTTTCTTTAACGAAATTTAACGGACAGCTGATGGAAATTAACGAACCGGATTTAACGGACCGGATGGCACCCTTGAGTGGCCACCTCTAGTACATGGATGGTACCCGTAATTCAAATAGAATGGCGTGTATCCAGTTGCTTGCATTGGACTGTTGTTGATGATGAATTCAACAATGGACAACAGTCGTTCCCAGCATGCAGGGTGCAGCGCAACACCATTTCCACCACCTTGTTTACTGCCTCTGTTTGACCATTTGTCTAAGGGTGGTAGGTGCTGGACATCCACAATGAGCTTCCCAGAATGCTCCATAATTCTTGCCAGAATTTGGACATAAAACGGGGGTCTCTGTCACTCACAATGGAACGTGGAATCCCATGTAACTTTCCCACTGTGTTCAAGTAGAGTCGGGCAGTCTCAGCAGCCGTGATGGTCTGCTTGACCGGTGCCAGGTGCACCATTTTGGTGGCCCGATCTACGATGGTGAGGATTCCATCATTCCCTGCCTCTGATTTAGCCAACCCCATAATGTAGTCCATGTTGACGTCTGCCCACTTTTGTTCTGGGAGCTTGAGCGGCTGCAATAGTCTAGTAGGGACACGGTGGACGGCTTTCTCTTGCTGGCAGATTGGGCACCCCATCACAAAGTCACTGATGTCCAAGGTGTGCTCAGGCCAGTAGAATATTTTCTGAATATTTTTCAATGTTTTGTGGTAGCCTAGATGACCCGAATAAGGGACTTCGTGTAGTTCCCTCATTATCTGCCTCTTGATCTCTGGTACATCTGGCACCACCAGCTGCCACTGTGCCTTTCTGTGTTTGTCGCTGTCCCTCATCTCTAAAAGTCCTCCTGACTGCCGGAAGGATCGATCTCCAATGACCACAGCATTGTCTTGAGCAGATTTCAGCTGGGAAATGATATCTGCCCAACGTGGATCCTCTTGTATCCCTCTTTTTATCCTCTCTCTCAAATCTTTCGCCAGTGAAATACGGGACCTGGCGACACAGAGTGAAGGTCCCATCTCATCCTTTTGACCCTCCACTTGGGTCACCTCCGGTCTGCTCTTGGCAAAAACTTCATCCAATTTTCTTTGGATCCTGTCGTCAGACGTATCTTCTCCCAATAACAACCTTTTGACCAACGACTCTTCCTTTTCTCGAACGTAAACCATTTCTTTCACGTCCTTGAGACTTCTCCGAGAGAGGAAGTCTGCGGGGTTTTTTTTGCCTGGTATGTGGACCAGGTCACAATCATACCTCTGAAGAACTTGAACCCATTTCCAAATCCTCTTGTTCACCGCTGGTTGATTGGGTAAGTTCTTCAACGAATCATGGTCGGTCTGGATTGTGAAATGGCGACTGGCAAGGTAGTGCCGCCATTTCCCCACTGCCCAAACAATTCCCAACAACTTCTGTTCATATGCCTCATATCTTGTCTCAGCAGGTTTCAACTTACGGCTCTCATAGCAAATCAGTTGTAATCCTGAGCCGAAGTCCTACTGCAAGATTGTGCCTACCGACACTTCTGATGCATCTATAGTAACGGTGAACTCGTGCTCAAAATCGGGAAGCTGTAGTACTGGGGCGGTGAACATGGCCTTCTTGAGCCCATTAAATGCTTTCTCCTCTCGGTCACCTCAGACCCAAGGCGCATTTTTCTTTGTCAAGTCCGTCATTGGGGCCACAATCTCGCTGAACCAGTGAATAAATTTGCGATAGAAGCTACACAACCCCAAGAAAGACCTCACGTCGGTGACGGTCTCCGGCGTCGGCCAATCGAGTATAGCCTTGACCTTTGATAGTGACGATTTGATGCCATCCTTCCCAACATCGAAGCCAAGGTA